GGCAGAAAGTACAACCAACTTCTAAGACTAAACTTTGGAGGTGTGAAAAAATATCCCTGCTGATTTATTTTTTTCTATCTGCAAGTCTCCCGAAAAGAATGAAAGTTGTAATAAAGATAAACGGTGGACACACTAAATGCTGAGCTGCTGAGGCTTTTGTATTTTCCTGTTTTTCTACTGTCACTAATAAATGTATAACTTATACAGAATGGCTGTTGTAATTGGAAATGTTTCCACAGTACTGTAGTTTTACTGCAAAATTCTGGTTAGGTGTGGGTCAATGGGAAGTATAGGCTCAAGCACTGGTAGAGGCTCAGCAGCAGAAGTTTGAAGAGCTGGGACTGCAGTGGAGACCACTGGCTACTGGTAGTTAAAGAGAATATAGAGCTTAGGGGCTGCCATATAGGGACCCCAAACCCTCTGGGTCCCCACAAGCAGGACAATAGGCTTTCTTATTACTTACTTGTTCTTTTAACATCAGCTTTATGAGTTGCATACCATTAGTAAACTTTAATCTGTGTTAATTTTACTTAGCCTAACCTTATAGACCACAGCTATACTTAACACTCAACTCTTAACTCACATGTACACTGAACCTAGCAGTGAACAAAAGATTTAAAAGGAGGTTCAAGGTTTCCGAATTAAACATTGCTACGCAGTGATTTGCATGGCTGGCACATGTTCCTGATTTTATGATCATATCTGGTTCTCAGTTAAAGCTCACTGGCCTATGCTGCTCAACACATATACAGTCGTATGCAAAAGTCTGGGCACCCCTGGTCAAATGACATTTTATTGATCTTCCATGTGAAAATAACACTTCCTATACAGAGAACACACTTCTGCACATTTTAATACATAATTACTGTTTATTTGCTGAATTTAACATGGAAAAATGTAAAGAAAATAACACAAAGTGTGGTTTGTAAAAAAAAATGACGGCACATTTTATATTTTGTGTTTTATTTCTTTCCTCCAATGTTAAAACCAGCAAATAAATAAAAATTGTGCTCCAAAAATTGCAGATAAATGCCATATTTAAGTTCCTTCCCTGTATATGATGTATTAACTTATTTTCACTTAGAAAACACAAAAAAACATGTAAATTGAACTTGGAAAAACAAAATTCTGAGGTGGCATTCAGGCCGAAAACAAAACAAAAAAATAAAGAATGAAATATGACAGGAGCCAGATACAGTCCTATTACCATCACTACAAATATAATGCTACCTATTGGAATGACGTCTCTATGGGATTTGCAATGCTGCACTACTGCAAGATAGCAGTGCAGTAGTTATATTCACATTTATTGGCAGGTGAAGCTTAAAAACAGTGATTTGAATCTGTTAACAAACAGACATATGTTTTACTATGTTGCAGTTTCACAGCAGCCCCTGTATTATACAATATAATAGCATTATTATATATGTCTGTGTCTACAGAACCTTATTATTACATTGATGTTCAGATGATACAAACTTAAGTTTGAAAGTGCAATCAGGAACAGAACACTGATGCTGGCCAGCTTTCTCGCAAAATTATATAACATTTTATATGTTTAGTATTTTAATAGATATAATTTAGACACAATTCAGGCTTCAGTGAGGTTGCTACTTCTGTTTTATGTGACATACTTTTGTCCATTTTTGTCACTAACAGTGTATTTTACAGTATACAACATGTGTCAGGCTCCAGTCCTTGAGGGCCAAAACACTGCAGACATCAGCACCACCTCATTAAACACACCTGATTCAGGTCATCAGCTCATTAGCAAGGCCTTCATGAACTGAATTCAGAGCGTTAGATGAGGGTAAATGTTAATCTTTTCAGCACTTTGGCCCAGGAGGCTCCCAGTTTGGCATGCCTGCTCTACAATGGTATACAGTGTTATACAGTGTCAGAAACAGATACATAAGCAAGTCTGAGATTGTTCAACAGCTTCACATGGTTTGAGGCAAGTCTGTCATTACTGAGGCATGCAGTTTACACAATACTAATTACTGGTTAAAAGCTTCCATTACTTGTAAGCTACATTAGCCTCACAGCTTCAGTGCAAAATTAAAAAAGCAAACTCTGGAAGCCAAACGCCTCTCAGCTCATTGATTACATTTAGGGGGAAAACTGTGTACTTCTTTTTTGTCAAACCATTCTGAACCATTGTCAGTGTCACTGCAGTGCTGAGAGGGATCCGCCACCCAAATAATACCTGCTGGGGTCCTGAAAATTACTGAATTCAAGGGGGCTAACAATTTATGTAGAGAAACAGATGGACTACAGTCTGTGGCCAGCGAGTGTACACTGATCAGCCATAACATTAAAGCCACCTCATAGTAAAACCACCAACCCCTCCTTGTTTCTGCACTCATTGTCACCTATATGGTGCACTTTGTAGTTTTACAATTACCCCAGAGGACCACCACAAAGCAGGTGTTATTTGGGTGGTGGATCATTCTAAGCACTGCAGTGACACTGACGTGGTGGTGGTGTGTTAGTGTGTGTTGCGCCGGTGCGAGTGGATCAGACACAGCAGTGCTGCTGTGAGCTCAGTCTGCTGGCTCTATAAGTCCGGCTCCCTACTGCCACTGTTGGTTCAGCCTCGAACTACCCAGACTATCATCCTGCATGCAAGAACTGACTAGTTTGATTTTAAATTAAATGATACAATGATTCTGTTGTTTTTTGTTGAGCCATTTTGTTAAGCTGTTCCAGGTAGAGACAGACATTCAACAGACAACGGACAGATACAGAAACTCCTCTGACACAGTAAGACTACTGCTGCGCTTGACCTAGCTCAGAAGTGAGAAGTCATTTGGACAAAGTGGGAAAAAAACATGAAATTAAAGCGACTGTTGTTAGCAATATGCTAACAGCTTATGTTAATGATTTACCTTCTCAAAACAGTGAACTTAAAGGTCAGTACTATAGTTTAACCAACTACTGTGTCTGTATGTTGACTGATCTAAAATTCATTAAAAAGTAGAGCAGAGGTTCTGTCTTCTGTTGATATTGATTTGAAGTCAGATGCTGAGCTTAGACTTGAGAATACCACTCATAAAATATATCAGATTGAATAGCCTAAAAGTAAGTCTTTCACAGTAATGTAACACTTCAGATTAAACCAGAGCTGTTCACTTAAAAGGTTCTGTAATCTCTCCACTCCTCGCTCACATGCCAGAGAAACCCTGTACCATGTGCACTCCATATGATTCACATGGAGTGCTATTTATTTTATGTCTTGAATGTATGCACAAGACACTACACACGTTATTTTTATTACACAAAAAAGTTAAACATTCTGTGCTACACAGCCATTTTTTCGGAAGCTATAGGCTTGAAGAGACAGCCCAATCACAAGCTAGAAAACTGCTGAGGGTAAACAAATGTGCAGCTTTTTTTTGTCATTCATGCAGCAAAAGTGTGTGTAACGTCTGTAGGACTTTTGTTGCAATCAGTGAGAATTTCCAGTATGTAGGTCTGATGAACAGCTCTGTGTATGAATGGCCGTCGTGTTTGAGCTGGAGAGTCACTGCCGCATCACTCATGTCATGTAGAGGTAGTCAGTGGGGAAAAACGGACTGTCTGACTTGCAAGTCAGACAAGTGATACTGGAACGAGAGAGAATCTGACGATCCGCGCTATGAGCAGAATCACAACGCTCTGCTCACACGCTCTGGATTAAACTTAGCTCGTTTTTTAGATGTGAAGCCCCTCATGGACTTGACTAGTAACTCACTAACTCACTCACTCGTGTATAACAAGACTGTCCACAGGGGGGAGCTAATGGGATTCTGGTAGCTAGAGTGAAAGCAATCTTGTGTTCTCTGAAAGTGCTGAGTCTATTCAGCATAGTGAACACTTGCTTTCTAGGACTTTTTGGGTACTACAAGCTGGTGTGTTGCATCAGTAACACTTTTTGTAAAGAATGCTCCGCGGGGGATTAAAAGGAAAGGAGAGTAAAGTGAGAAATTAATATATCATGTGTACGTGTACATGTATTTGTGTTATTTTAATGTTTATTGTATGTACATTAATTTCAGCATCTTTTCTGTTATTTTTAAGTGTATTGGTTTCATTACTGAACAATAACTGACTTTATCGTATCACTGTTAAAATTATTTACTTAAATGAATTTATATAATAAATAAATAAATAAACACAGTAAATACAGGCTGAAGAAAGAATAAAATTAGGATTGGGTGTGGCTCACTATCCTCTTGCTATGTGGGAACAAGGCAGGGCATAATAAGGAGTCTGAGCCATTGCTTTAGGGTGATGAATAACAGCAGTGCCTAACCACACCACATAACTGTTACTATTCATTCAGCTAACAGTAACAACTAATACATATACTAAATCAACACAGATTAGTCTTTCAGTTTACTCACCTTTGGCAACAACTATGTTGATGTAATATCTTTCATTAATGTGCAAACTATGAACACATTTGAATCAAATAAAATCACCCTGCTGAAACAAGATCATCAGAATCATTTAGATTAAATGTAAATTGGCTTAATGATTATCATTAGAGACCACTAGTGTCCTGCTAGCTAGCTACCGAGACATGAGTATACTACTGCTCTGTGAAAGCATATGATGCCCTAAATTTAACTAAAGCCCAGCAGTGAGGAGCTGAACTTTACCCTCCTCTATCACTGCAGACTGGCAGGGTCGCCTACAGAGCACCGCTAGTAGCTGTTAATGAAGTGATGCTGTTCTTTATTTGAGGGTCCCATTTCGTAGGGGATGATTTCAACCACTACCCATAATAACTCAGTTCCAAGGGGCAAGGTGACACTCGAAAACAAGGAGTAGTGGTGAAAATAAGAAATGGGACTGGGCCTTGAACACCACCAGGAACCAACAGAAACTTTTTACTCTGATTTTTTCAGCAGGGCGGTGGATCCCATTTTTTGGTGGGAAACACTACATTTGGCAGCGCGTGCCAAAAAGTAGGCTTCGCAACATTTTACCAAACTTTCATTCTCTACTTCCACTTCCCTCTCCAGCCAGAGTCACACAAACACAGAAATACAGTAAAAAGGCTGTTTAGCGACGCCACGCCTGACAAACTCACTCCAGAGGAGGAGTGAAGAGGAATGCCTGTTATTTTCCACAGAGAGAGAGAGACAGAGAGACAGAGAGACAGACACAGAGAGAGAGAGAGACAGGAATTACGCACTTTCTCGCTGAAAACTCCAGCACTGTGGAAGAAAACTCTTCAGAGAAAGCTTTAAACTCGCAGGATGTCCGGAGTTGCGTCCACCCTGGCCAAGAAGAGGGCTCTGGCCGCGGGCTTCGGCACCAACGCCAACGCGGTCAAGTACCTGAACCAGAACTTCGAGAGTCTGAGAAGCGAGTGTCTGAGCCGCGGACAGCTTTTCTGCGACCCCACTTTTCCGGCCAGCCCTGAATCTCTGGGATTTAACGAGCTGGGGCCGCGGTCCTCCAAAACCAGGGGCGTGCAGTGGAAAAGACCCGGAGTGAGTTTTTCTCCGTTATTCTTTATGTTTTTTTGTTTTAAATAAAAAAAAAGATGCAAAGGTAAACCTGGTTTGATAAGTGATGTGAAAGATGCTGCAGTCTGCACTCACTGCTGCCCTGATCAGCTGGTCAGTCACTTAGGTTTCTGTAACCTGCAGAATGAGGTGTTGAAGATGATCTATAGGACTACAGTCTTTTATAACTGCTAAATCTGATATTCGGAGAATAAGTTCAGGTTTGACATGCTGCCAGCTGATGACTCAGACTGAGGTCATAGAAAAAGGATAGGCATAAAGCATGAATGGTCTATTTCTAATGTGTGTATCTATCTATCTATCTATCTATCTGTCTGTCTGTCTGTCTGTCTGTCTATTCGATTAAAGTATCAGTGATGCACTGATCTGATATGTTGGATCACTATCAGCATCAATACTAACCCCTTAGTCAAATTGAATATTGGTGAGATGTGACAGATCTGCTTCTTAGTCATGCTTGTTATAGAATAGTGTGATTTTATAAGCCTTGTAGAGCGAGGGCTCCTGTCCTTTTGCAACAGATTACAGTAGTAAAAAATCTAGCTCATCACTTAAAACTCATTACTATAAAGTTATCCATAAAGCATATATGCCACCACATACATTACTCAAAGTGAAGCGTCTGTCTAGTCCTCTCTGTCAGAATCGCAATATGAGAGATATAGGTACCTTCATACATGGGATTATTATTATGGGATTATGTTCTGCATGTTGTCTCAATTTTATGTAAGAAAACCTTTGTAAAGCAACCTGTTAACCGATGATTATCTTCTCAGTCTCACTTTAAGTCAGCGGGAGCTTGAGACCATCTTTTAGTCTTTTATCAAATCCTTCCACTTCCCAAATGTTGCAGAGTGTTGTTTAAAGAAGAGTTGTTGAAACACGGTGGTAAACATGCCCCTGTCCCAACTTTTTTGAAATGTATTGCTGGCATCAAATTCAAAATGGGCATATACTTTAAAAAAAAAAAAACAATAACATTTCCCAGTTTTAATGTTTGATATGTTGTCTTTGTACTAGTTTCAATCAAATATAGGGTTTAAATGATTTGCACATCATTGCGTTCTGTTTTATTTACATTTTGTACAGTGTCCCATCTTTTTTTGGAAACAGGGTTGTATATAGATACACACATTGAATATAGGCTGTGCCCTGCAATCATACCTCACTGTTTATTCTGCTCTGTTGCTGTAGGAGTTGACCTCCAGTCCGGAGTTTATTGTTGGAGGGGCAACAAGAACTGATATTTGCCAAGGAAGTTTGGGTAAGCTTAACTTGTCTGTCATTTTAGTAAACTTAAACAGTCCTGATGAGGTTATAAAGAACAGTTTGTATCTCCCTAAAACATGCATCTCACATATAACTGCAGGGTGCAACCAGATGGGCATTTGCTGCCTTTACACTGTATATATCAGCATGAATCCTGGGTCACACCATGTGAATCAGCCTTGAGTTTAGAAGATTCCAAAACATCTAAACCTCAAAATGCGTATCCGATAGGCAGATCCACTGTTATTCCACAGTTTCCGAAAGGTTATGGTGTCATTTCTTTAGCGCTGAAGTGCCACACAGGCATCATATTTCAAAACAAAAAAGAATTCAGTAACTTGACAGATGCTTAATTGGTCGTATCTGAAGATGTTTATCTGTGATACCAGCATTAATCTTACAAGGATAGTGTGGGTACTTTGCTCATTGACATCAGCTGGGTAACTTGCTGGCTCATTTGGCCGCTCTTCTCTCAGTGTGATTCTACTTTGTTAATCCCACTTATGTAAACGTCATCTATGACTATGATTATGACTCCACTTCCGGTGCCACCCAGAGGAAGATGGGTTCCTCTTTTGAGTCTTGGTTCCTCTCAGCGTCTCTTCCTCATGCCAGCTCCAGGAGTTTTCCTGTGGGTCTTGGCCCTGATTTCTGCAGAGCAAAGCTTTTTGACAATGAATGCATTGTACAAAAAAATTGAATTGAGGAAACATAAAGTATTGACTGAGCAAATAAGGTTTGTAAAGCATTTGGCTAGCCCCAAATGCTTCTTGGTAACAGTATAGATTATGGGATTTAGAGGCCTTGTTTTATTCATTGTCCTTCATTTTTCTAACTTTTTACCACCACTGGAAATACTGCTTCAAACAGGAGTCAGCTTGGAAATGATTAGAGGACAGACTGACTGACCCATAATCTCCATGGAGCATGAGTTTGGCATCTTTTTTGGTTGTTGCTCTAGTCACCACTGTAATTTTTTATTGGTTTGACATTGTTACTGTTGTTTTTTTGCAGTTTTCTTACAGTTTACAGTTATTTGCAGTGTAGATCACAAGATACAGTCTAAACCAGAAAATAAATATCCAGTAGGCTGTTTTGATGCTGTGAGATTTAACTAAAGAGGTCCGGATGTATTTTTTCTAGCATTACAGCCACCATCTTTCAGTCTTTCTGTATTACAATATAGATACCAAATGATGCAAAGGCAAAAAACGACACACTCACTTGAACATCGATTAAACACAGAAACATATTCCATTTTTTGAATATTGGAATTCAGTCACATTTTTATCCATATGAAATTCTTCAAATGTTAAATAATTCAAACAAGTAGCTAAATATATTAAACATGATATCATTCAACATGTTCTGAGGGAACAGTGACATCATAAATAAGAAATAAAATTACTGCCTAACAGTCAGTCAATTACGGAAAGTTTCCATGGTTCTTGGTTCTTGGCTTTAATTAGTATAGAACCTTATTATGTGGAAGTCCCAGTGAACACAGTGTAAAATATTAAAAAATAAAAATGCTTGTATGCTATTAAAAGTCAGAGTTATGTTAAACATCCAGCAAAGTGTGAAGGGAAAAACACAAGATAGAAAGATAATAAAACACGGCATAAATAATACTTACTAGGCCTATCTGAGAACTGTCAGGGCGTAGTCCTGATATTCTAACAGGCATGCCTCAGTCCATCACTCCCATCCTGCAACTCCACTGCAGCAAACCTAAACACAATAGCATGAACAAAGCAAGGAGAAATGAGTGGAACAGACTCTACGTGTGTAGGTGGTGTTGAAGAATACATACAAGCAATTTGTAACTGCATAGTAACTCAGTGGCTTCTCTATTGTGTCTACATGCCCTCCATAGTCAGATCACTAAGGATAAGTCATCGGCCTGCTTTTATTTACTAGTTTGTTGTTGTTACCGTTGTTGTGGAGAGCTCTGTAACCAATGGATTCATCTGTACAAGGTCACAAGACAAATGTATGAGCTGAACCAAAAAAAAGCGCTTGGCTGAGTGAGTCACGTTAAAGGGTCCTGGCTACATGAGCACACTGTTACGCCAGCCTCGGGCAGTGTTGTTTTCAATGCTTTTTAATTCCAGTCCAGGCCCTTCCATGTGCTTTAGATGAAGTGTGATTAAAACCACACGCCACAGTCTCTTTCGTTGTGTTATGATTCTTCTGAATAACCATTGAAGCTGCCTCTGTTCAATAGAAGCTAAATCATCAGATTTTCATGCAGCCTTCACAAACACTATGAAAAACAGATATGAGCTCACATTAGCATTTGGCATGTGTGTGGAGTGATAGATTCATGTCTCAAAAGACATAAAAATACCTAAATCTCTGGCCTAGTTTGTTCAGAGTGGTACGGATATGCCTGTAAATGTTATCAAAGACAAGCTGTTCTGAAATGAAAGATATTTCTGTGGAGAACATTGAGTCGTTTGTGGTGAGCAGAGTCCCTCTGGGTGAGGCTGGACCATGCAGTGTACTCTTACGTCCAAAAGGTCTGGAAATAATTTTAGCACTTACTGAGGGACTATGGGAAATGTAGTCTTAATGACACATAACTGAATTAAAGGAATACTCTAAGGTTTTCCACCTAATCTCTGATTGCTAGATATGTAGCGTACAGTCTATAAGCAAAGACAATAATTTTGACTAATATACAGCATGTATTAGGGATGCATGAAATTTCAGGCATTAAAACCAGTGAATCGAAAATGGTCAAATGTTGCACTTTTGTTTTTTGGCAATAAAATTTTAGCTAAAAAATTGCGAAAGATTAAACAGGACTACAACAAAGTGTCAGCATCCAACACTTCATAGATCATTTGAATGATAATGAAAATGAGAAATAAGGGAACTATTGTGCAGTTTCTATGATATTAGACAAGCAATTGTTATCAATGTTCATATCAAATATGAAGAGGGGAACACCGCCCAAGAACTTCTCCACTACAGGTTTGACACCCCTGAATACACCCTGCTCAATGCGCAGAATACAGCAAAACAACAGAAGGAGAAAGTGACTGTGAGCACAACAATCACATCAGTTTTTGAGAAATGAGAAAAAATATTCATAAACAATAAATGAATAAATGAAAAACTGCAAAGTATAAATGAAAAACTGCAAAGTATAACAAAAATAATGGAATTCATTACTTTGAATGATCAGCTGTTCTCTGTTGTTGAGGAAGGTTGAAATTGTGGCTACAAACTTTAATCATTTTAGTAAGTTTATTTTATGTACATCAATTATGCCTAATTGAAAGCAGACTTTATCCAAATTACCTCATCATTTTTATGTTTAATATATTTATTCAAAAACAGAAATAAAATGTCAAATTAAAAAAAAGAAAAAACCTTTGTTTTGGTTTTCATCCACGGTCTTGAATTTCATTTGTGGTTTTAGCCAGGAATTTTAATTTCAGTGCGTCACCTAGTACTTATAAACCAGTGGGAAGGTGCTGAACAACTTTACCTTACTTCTATTATGATTGTGTTTTGAGCCAATAAGTTTTAAGAACAGGGAAATTATTGTTCATGGTAGTTGATCCTGTGCTACAGATTCAGCAGATAGAGATTCTTCCTTTAACTGAGAAATTTGCTGAAATGCTGTAGTTACTTAGAGATCAAGTCGATGTGTTGTTACGGTTAATGTTATTAGTATTATGACCATGATTCTCTGTTTTCTGTCTGTTTGTCTGTCTGTCTGTCTTAGGGGATTGCTGGCTCTTGGCAGCCATCGCTTCTCTCACGCTCAATGAAGATGTGTTGTCTCGGGTTGTTCCAACAGACCAGGGCTTTGGAGACAACTATGCAGGCATTTTCCACTTCCAGGTACACTGATGCATTTTGTGTGGATGTGACATGGTCCAAAAGAAATGGTCCAAAATTATATATACACCCCCTCTAATTTGTGACTTTAAGGTGCACCATTTGCTGACAAAAGTGACCCGTTTGGGCTCTCACAACTTGTGTAATCGCTATAGAAAAGCACTGCTGATAAAATGGGACGCTTTGAAGTCACCATGTTCAATGCCAAGTGTTAGCTAGGAGTATAAAGCCCCCCAGAACTAGGCTGTTCTTTGGAGTGTTGGAGCACCATCCAATACCTCTGAGATGAGCTGGAGTGGTGCTTGTGATTTATACAACATCAGCACCTGACCTCTTGTGGCTGAATTCAATCAAATTCTCTCTGCAGTGTTCCAGCAGTGTAAAGTCTTCCCACAAGAGCAGAGGCAGCAGAAAAGAAGGGACAAACTTCAGTACCCTTGATTTTTGAAATGTTGGATGAACAGATGTCTACAGATTTGTGTATATATATATATATATATATATATATATATATATATATATATATATGTATATATATATATATATGCATGCACACACATACATGGGTAATCCTATGAGGAACTCAGGATGAGGAGTTCCCACATGCATAGTTGGTTTTGAGGTGTGGCTTGTGGAAAGTTTTGCTTGGGATAGGAAGCCACGCTGAGTCAGAAGAGAGGAACACCCTCAGATCCCAGAGGAAGAATGTTTTCAATGTGTCTTAGTTTTATGTCCCTCTTCTTTTCCACATGGACTTTATTGTTCCTCTACACCCTGCCATATTAGAGGTCTATGTGTCTTTAACTGAACGTGATGTATTGTTAGCTTTAATATGAGGATGTGAAAGCGGAAAAAAGTTATATTTAAAAGGGTGATCAGCACATTCCTTCCACTGTAGGCAGTGTCCAGACAGGTCTGGATGTGGTGAGACTGAGTAAAATCAGCTGTTAATGTTGGACTTTAATTTTGTATACTGTACATTCTCTACATTCTCCACAGTTCTGGCAGTTTGGCGAGTGGGTGGACGTGGTTATTGACGACCGGTTGCCCACCAGAGATGGAGAGCTGCTGTTTGTTCATTCAGTCACAGGCTCAGAGTTCTGGAGTGCCTTGCTAGAGAAGGCCTATGCTAAGTGAGTACACTTCAGTCTCACCTGTGAGCTCGACTGAATTTAGTTCTGTTTTGCTGTTTTGATGCTCCTAGTTGCATCAGAAATTTCGGACAGTGATTTTATGTTGTCTTCCAAACACAGTCCATGCATTTATTATTTTAAATGATTTTGCCAAGTAAAAAACAATTAAAACAAATTAAAAATGTGTTTAATATTGGCAATTAACCTATCCATGCTCCACCTACAATTACATTGATTCATAGCAACTGCTTTTAAGTAGGACAAGCTTCAGTCTTAGAACATTGACAATAGTCTCTTTTTTTTAAAAAAAGATTTTTACCCAGTTTTTCTATTCTCACATGCTAGATAGGTCTCCACCTTGAGGCTACCAAGTTGGGTGGGTGAAGACTAGCATGTCCTTCACTGGAGATAACTTTTTGAACTGTTGCTCACCCAACTTCTTAGGACAGCTCAGTGCCTTTGGACAAGAGCTCTAACTGCTAATTCTATTTATCAGCTAACAAATGCCTGTGTTGGGAGGACCATCATACTGTCTTGGACCCCTGACCAAGAACTCACTATCTCCTGGTCGATAGGTCCAATGCTTGAATAGTTGTGCCACTTGGGAGACCCCTCAAAGATCCCATTTAACTTAATAAATCCAGCTTGCAATTTAGAATACCTACATAAAATTGAGTTTATAGTATAAATGCTATATTACTGAGCTGGACTGTGTTGTGGTCAATCAGAACTAGCAGCAGCACCCAATTTACAACATTACGCTTTTGAAAAACTACACTTGTTCTGAAATGATTAGCAGCCCACCCTCAAATTTCCTTATTTTATCAAAGTTAAGTGCACTACCACTTCTCATTAGTTTTGTTATGGATGTCCAATTTGTCATGAAAGATTGTATTTGTAATGGGGTCAGTTTCTTCTGATAAAAATGGTTCCACTACAGGTAGCATTTTAAGATTAAAATCATTTTAAGTTTGCAACCTGTGGTTAGTGGAATGATACAGGTATGGTGAATAAAACATGCTGTTATCAGCTGTAATTATTTGAGTTAAGAACACTTTTCAACTAATCAGATTGTGTGACTGGAACTGTTGTATAAAAATTTGAGATTATATTAGCAAGAACAGCATCAGCAAAAGTCTGTTTGTAGAATAGGAATCTTTCCTCTACACTTACTAGTATGTTCACCCTTAAAAGTAATGTGCCTTGTGTGTACATTAGTCTCTGTACTTAACTGACTGCAGTTTTTTCTGTTTGAATTCTGTCCTGTGCTCTGGCTCTATAAGGCTGAATGGATGCTATGAGGCTCTCTCTGGGGGCTCCACAACGGAGGGCTTTGAGGACTTCACTGGAGGCATAGCGGAGATGTATGAGCTAAGATCAGCTCCACGTGACATGTTCCAAATCATCAAGAAGGCTCTGGAGTCCGGAGCTCTGTTGGGATGCTCCATAGATGTATGGATCTATTCATTTTGCATTACCTACACTTGAATGACTGAAGAAACTGTGGGCATGTTGTTTTTACGTTAAAGAAATGCTCCAGAGTCATCTCAATCTGTGCCACGTCTGTGATGTACAATCAGGCAATTTGAAGAGAAATTTTCAGGTGTTTCTATGGAAGCCCAATCCCACCAGGTAGAGGAGAAAAATGTTTGTTTTCCTGTTTCTGGCAGCAAAATTTTGACTTTTATCTCAAAATAATGATGTACTATTCCATAATAATGATAAGTATCTCGAAATAATGACATATCAAATTGTATTATAGTACGTTTTTATTTTGGGATTCATTCGGGAGCCATAATTTCAAGATAAGTCACAGTCTCGATAAAATAAGGGATTATGTTGACAAGTCATTATTTTGAGATACTAAGTCAAAATTCCAAAAAATAAGTCATTATTCTGAGATACTAACTGATGTTGAGAAAATAAGTAATTCTTTTTAAATGTTTTAAGATTTAAAAAAAAATAAATCTTTTTTTTGAGATGTGAAGTCAAATTTTTGACCTACTGCTATTAGAGAAAACTGCAGTTGTTCTCCTCTACCTGGTGGAAATGGGCTTCCATATGTTTCCCTTGATTTAGAAAAAAACAGAAAACTCATTCCCTCAAAACTTACTAGCCACTGGGCAGCTGCTGATTTCTGTCAGTAAACATACATTTTTGCAGAGCACTTGAATTAATTACTCAGTCAAAGGTGTTTGTAAATTAAGCTGTAAATACGTATTATTTGTTCTTCCAGAGAAGGATTTTCCAGAAGTAGTTTTACAGGGGAAAGAATTGTGGTAATAAGTTATCAGCGTAGTGGTAATAGAGTTTTCACAGAGTTTTCATTAGGGAAAGCAGAGGTAACTGGAATTGCTTTTTACTGACATTCCAGTGTTTGCTGGATAAAACTTAATAAGAACAGCTTTGATACGACTCTCATGTTTGTCTCATCCTTATTGTCATCACTTATGATATTGTTAGAGTGTAATGACTGTAGGTTTAAATTTGTATACAGTCAAGTGTGAAGTTATACAGTCAAACATTTCAAGTATTACTGACTATTACTGCAGATCACTAGTGCGGCAGACTCAGAGGCCATCACTTATCAGAAACTTGTGAAGGGACACGCCTACTCAGTGACAGGCGCCATTGAGGTGAGCAGACTGAGCTTCTTGCTTCCTCTACAAACACTGTGGGAATAGTTCCATACATGCATTCAAAGCTGTTTAGTAAGAGAAACATTTCACATGTGTTAGGTGAACTACCGCAGTCGAAAGGAGAAGCTTATCAGAGTGCGTAACCCTTGGGGTCAGGTGGAGTGGACTGGAGCCTGGAGCGACAGGTAAGATCTGCTGAACTGTTTTATGCTTTATGTGTTTTATTTATTGCTTATCAATGCTGTTATTTATGCTTTATGTATTTTATTACATCATTAACAATTTCCAGTCAAAAGACAAAAGAGCCATCAAGTACACACTCAGAAACCTCAGTTTTTTTCAGCATTTAGTATTTAGCTTTCATCTTTTTTCAGGAGACTTGCTTTCAGTTTTTCAAAGAGATATTTTTCCATATCTCCAAAGTTCAGTCTTAGGAGTTGGTTGAATTTTCTGCTTCTCACAGTCCAAGTAATCCCTAACACATTCAGTGATGTTGCGGTTTGGACTCTGGTGTGGTCAGTCCATTGTTCCGAGAAGACTTTGTTGGATTGAGTTGTCTTCTTACAGTGGGTGAAAGAATCTCTTAAAGATGAAAGCTTTAACTACTGTTTATCTGATGTAGTCCACTTGGTCTCGTAATGTTGTTTGGAGTGAAACTTTTCTTGTTGTCTTTTAATACATTTTTGAATTCCAGTTTTGGAAACACCTGTTTTTTTTCACTTATTTTCTCTTTCTCCTTCCTTATGCAAGTGGATTATCTTAAATCTAATCTTCTTAGAAATAGATACTAAAAAATTAATAATTTGTGCCTAATAACCGTTTTGACTGGATATTTAATAAATGAATAAATGAGTGTTTTTTGCAGAGTACTGTATTTGTACTGTATTAATATTGATTCCTTGAATTCCATCCTTGAAGTTTTTCTTACTGGCTGTGTAATCTCTTTCATTATGCAGCTCCTCTGAGTGGAACTCTGTAGATGCCTCTGAGCGTGAGAACGTGAAAGCTGATGATGGAGAGTTCTGGTATACCTAGTTTGACCTACCTTGATAATCCTACTTTTTTCCCTGAGAACAGTTGGGTCATGATTTGTTGTACCTCATTATGTCAAGCAATGTTTCTGGTTGTGACTTTTGTGAACATCTTGATTTCTTTGACTTCAATTGCATTGTTAGTTTATTAGGTATATCTACCGTGTACCTACACTCACTGACCATTTTATCAGCTACACCTACAGGTGCAGTTTTTGCTGACTGTTGCTGCACACTTTGTCAGCCCCCTAGTACCCTGTTTATCAGTGGAAACCACCACTGACCAGATATTTGGCTGGTGGACCATTCTCAACAAAGGAGTCACACCAACATGGTACAGTGACACCTCAGTGTCCTTGCTGGGTTGAGAGCAGTCTACCAACCAAAACCACCCAGCCAAGAGCAGCTCTGTGGTCAGAATTTGACCACTGACAAAGGAATAGAGGAGGGGTAACGAAAATTGTGCACTGAAAAAAATTAGCTATAGTCTCTGACCAAAAACCTCCAAGGTAGGTGTGATAAGTTGATCAGTGAGTGTAGATGCAAAGTAGATGCACATAATAAAGTATTCATGTATTCACTAATTTGTGTATGTGTTCAGGATGTCATTCTCAGACTTTTTGCGGCATTATTCCCGCGTGGAGATTTGCACTTTGACCCCAGACACCCTTACTTCTGACTCAGTGAAGCACTGGAGTGTGAGTAAATTTGATGGCAGCTGGAGGAGGGGCTCCACAGCAGGTGGCTGCAGGAACCATCCCTGTAAGAATCCTCAAAGTTAAACTCTTTCCCTATTATCTCTTGTCCTACAGTACATAGATATCATATACACTATATGACCAAAAGTATGTGGATACCACTCCTAATTATTAAATGCAGATATTTTAGCCACACCCATTGCTAACAGGAATATTATGTCATGCACAGAGCCATGTAATCTCCATACACACACACTAGCAGCAGATTGGGTCACACTGAAGAGCTCAGTGACTTTAAACATGACCCTGTCATAGGAGGCCACCTTTGCCACAAGTCTGTGAAACTCCTGCCCTACTAGACTTACCCTGGTCAACTGTAGGTGCAATTATTGTGAAATGGAAGCATTTAGAAGCAACAACAGCTCAGCCACAAAGCGAAGTTTTCATGACCAAGCAGCTGCACAAAAGCCTAAGATCGCTATGCACAATGCCAGGTGTTGGCTGGAGTGGTGTAAAGCACAGTGTCACTGGCCTCTGGAGCAGTGAAAATACATTCTCTGGAGTAATGAATCAAGCTTGACTATCTGACCTGGCCTGATGGACCAATCTAGGTTTGGCAGATGCCATGAGAAAGCTACCTATTGGAATAGATGGGGCCTAAAGTTTGTTGGAGGAGGGATAATGGTCTTGGGCTGTTTTTCAGGGTTTTGGGCCAATTAGTTCCAGTGAAGGGTAACATTAATACTACATCATGCAAAGACATTTTATGCAATTAAATGCTTCCAACTTTGTGGCAACAGTTTGGGGAAGGCCCATTCCTATTCCAGCATGACTGTGCTCCATGCACAAAGCGAGCTCCATAAAGACATGGTTTGATTAGTTTGGTGTGGAGGAACTCCAGGGGCCCGCACAGAGCCCTGACTTCAACCTCACTGAACAACTTTAGGATGAATTGGATCCTGTAAGCCTGGACTACTCATCCAACATCAGTGCCTGGCTTCATAAATGTTCTTTTGACTGAATGGGCACAAATTCCCACAGACAGACTCCAAACTCCTATGCAAAGCCTTCCCAGAAGAGGGGAGGCTGTTATAGCTGCAAATATAGCTGCATAACTCCATATTAATGACCATAGTTTTAAAATAGGATGTCCAACAAGCTCACATATGTGTAATGGTCAGGTGTCCATATACTTTTGGCCATATAGTGTACATTTGCCATGATGGGAAACCTGCAGTATATGGTGCTTTTTGCTAAGAGTGTAAGTATGTTCTTCTATATTAACTTTACGCCTTTTTTATTTAATGTTAATGAATAAATATTAAATTTGGGACCTAATTTCCAAACTGCATTGACAGTTCAGTTTATTGTCACATTTAAATAAAGTTGGAATTGACAGATCTCAAGGTGACTGTGGAAAATTGCCCCTTAGTCATAATTACCAGTTAAAAAAGACTGGAAATGATATATTTTGCTTTGAGACATGACACAAATAGCTCTCACACAGCCAGCTCCTCAGCCCATTCTGTGGCTTTGTCTGTCATTCATGGTTAACCCATTTCTTCCCATAGATACTACAACCTTTAGAAATACTTAAAATCCTTCTCTGTTTACCCTCTCCACGTTCCTCACCATCAATCCATGCATCTTCACAAATGCTGTTTTACTTCCTCAACTCTGCTTTCTCTGAATTCCCTGAATCACTGTGCCCTCTTATCTCCAAACCAGCCCAACCATCAACTTCTAGTCCCTTGCTATCTGATAGCCTCTGACTTGACAGAGCAATAATGCAGGGAGCTGAGAGGAAAAAGCAGAAACTCGACTCACTGACAGATCTGGCTATATTGATTGCTGCTTGATACCTTCTCCTCTGCTGTCACTTCAGCTAAAAACACATTTTTTTCATTTAAAAATTAGCACATGCATCTCTCACCCACATCACATATTCTGTACATCCCTTATCTCTCTTACTCTTACACTTCCTCTCTCACAGAGGTTATTTCATATCTTATAATGACCAGGTCAACAACATTCACAAGCCCTTCAAGAATTCTGTCAAGACTGACCCCAACTCTCGCCCAATTAACAAGCAATGCCGCAAACACATGCCCTATAATGCCCTTGGTCAACCCAGTTCCATCCACATTTTTCCAGACGATGTCTAATAACTCCATTCCTGGTCACCATGATAAACATGTCACTAAAAAGTGGTGCAGATTTCATCCTTTCTTGAATTAGCACTTAGAACCACAGTCAATTCTACAGTGTAAAATTTGCTGTAACAGACAAAAATGACTGCACTAAATGTACACTGCCTCGCAACGTCGCCCACAGACACGTTCTGGATGAATCCGCAGTATAAGATCAAGCTAGAGGAGGAGGATGACGATCCTGCTGATAATGAGGTTAGCTGTAGCGTAGTGATTGGCCTCATCCAGAAGAACCGGCGCAGGCTGAGGAAATCAGGGGAGGATATGCACACCGTTGGCTATGCCATCTATGAGGTGAGGGCACTGCAACTTTCTGTCAGGTTCATGACATATCACAGTGCAATATAAACCTATGGTTTTATGTCATTCCAGGTCCCTAAAGAGGTTAGCATCCTAGCTGGAAGTCAGCATGGAGAAGATTCCACACACATACTGAGTGACCTTCTTAAAACAGAACAACTCCTAATATCAACTGCTCTCTTTTCATGTGTATTGATTTGACTCTTTATTTATAATTTTTTCTTCTCATCTCATCTCAGTTTTATGGGCAGAAGGAGGTCCATCTCAGTAAAGAGTTCTTCCTGACCCACGCTCAGAAAGCTCGTTCTGAGACCTTCATCAATCTGCGCGAGGTCAGCACGCGCTTCAAGCTGCCCCCTGGCGAGTACCTCATCGTTCCCTCCACCTTCGAGCCACACAAGAACGGAGACTTCTGTGTGCGCGTGTTCTCAGAGAAACAGTCCGAAATGCAGTAAGGACCACAAACTCCTATCTGTTAATATTTGCTATATTCTCAGAGAAGTAGTGCAGAATGCAGAAAAGACCTAAACTCCTAGAAATTGCGAGTTATGATGGTAGTTTTGCTATTTTATTTCATTACATAACTGCATAATTTTACATTTAGTTATATAGTGAGTTACATTTACAGATGATTTGCATTCTGTGATTAATAATGGTTATGAAATTACAACATGCTCTTGTTATTCTCTGCAATAACTGTGACTTCTACGATTAACTTTCTTTCTATGACCATAGGAAATGTAAATCCCTGTTTTTAGGTGATATTATAATGGAAGTGCTAGCTCATTTTCTGTGAGCAATCAAACACAAGTGGCACATTTTGGTTTATGGATCAATATATATATATGACTAACATAAAATTTTTTCTTTATGGCACTGACTCTGACACTTGTATAAGATTTCTACTAGAAGGTTTTCTCTTGGTGTGACCCTTGTACCATGTCTGACACCCGGTTGACCCATCCATGCTCTGCCTACAAATGTGTTCTTTTTCTTGCAACTATTGCAAAGTTGGACAAGGACATTAAAAATCCAGTTCAACCTAAATCATAGTGATCTTTGATGCTTAGATTGACTTTCCTGTTCAAAATTCTGTGCTGCCAAGCTGGACTATTTTATTGCAGCCAGTGAAAACAAGGCAAGTTGGAAACAACATCCATATAAACCATGCTGACATTATTGATGTTAGCTTGATTACATGACAAATAATACGTCGGATCTACTTTATCAGTGTGACATCTCACATACATGCAAAATAAATATCATTAGAAATTAATATCCCAATCTAAATGTAGGTATTTTCAAGCGATTATGCTAAATTTAGGGTTGTGTGCTACAATATCATGTTAGGTTAAATGGGATTTTTGCCAGTGTTTGATAAAGCTTGTCCAACATAGCAACAGATGCTGAAAATAATACATTTCTTTGCAGAACATGGATAGGTATTATCCTCACTCTAGACACAATGAGAACCTGTTGAACTCCTGTAATCTTGTGTTGGTCATTTGTGCTTCCTGCTGTGCTTTTCCATTTCTCATAAACGCATAAGTGTGTCCAGGCTCTCAGCAGGGTGAGGGGTTGCTGTGACTGTTTCAGCTTCAGCCACTGGGTGTCAGCGTGGGACTTATTGTGGTACAACTGTCACAGCTATAGAAATCTGTCTTCCTTGTTTGAATTCATCTGTACTGTTTATAACAGTGTCATTACAATAAGGAAATATATGGTATAATATACCATAATTACCATTACAATATCATTAAATAATACTATCAAAAAACAAGGGTTACAACTGCAGTCTTGCATTTTTGGCTGCACTTAATTGGCTTAACAATCATTGTTAAAATACTGAAAAAACGTAAAATGCATCCGGACCTAACCTATAACACGACGCTAACATTTTACAACATAAAAATACTTTCATTAAAAGAGCTGAAGAGTAACAATAAGACTTAATAAGAATGAACAGAAACCAACAATACCGCAAAGAATTCTGTGAAGCTCCGCCTCCCATCCTGCAATATTTAGATTATTTACGACTTTGGGAGTTTCTCCTCTTCATTTAAGAAATGTGAAATATGAATCATAATTCACAGTTGACATCTGCCCACCATATCAGCCAGTAAAGCACAGCTTAACTAACACTGTTGGACTTTTAGCCATATAAAATTAGATTGGCCAATATTGTAGGTTATATGAATATGAAGTTCCTTAAATTTGGTATGGCTATTGGTGACAGTTAGATACTGTTAGATATTGGCTAATATATTTCAACTCCTTCTGGTCATTTAGATCCCATTGGTCATTTTTTTGAAAGTCCAAAACAGATTTGTTTAAAGGGGAATCCCACCAATTTTAATCGGAATGATTCCATTGCTGAGATGTAAACAAAGTCATTCAGAGTAGTTTGGTACAAAATGGTTCATCGTAGACACACTTAGTCGGATTTCTTTACAGTGGTAGTGATAGGAACCAGGGTTCATGGTGTCTACAGTGCAAATATAGCCATTTTATTTTCTGTCCAAAACCACTAGTGAAGCTACGCACATATGAGTTATCATGTAATAGGGACTATTTTGCCTTACAATGCCCAGCATGTATGTTTCTACCACAAATATATATTATCACAAAACATTGTATTAGGCATCAGGCAGCATATTCATAAGCATTTTCTGTAATAACTTGCTGTGAGGGAGCTTTTAGAGGTGGATGTCTGGTTTCTATCACCACCACTATGAACAATTCTGACTGGTAAGTTTCTCTAGAACAGAGCATTTCACACCAAACCACTCTGAATGACTCTGTTTACATCTAAATTATTTAATCATATATATATATTTAAAAAAAAACGGTGGAGTTCCCCATTAATATTTAGTCATAAGTGTCTTATTGGTTCATTTACTCTGACTCTCTGCCCCTCAGAATCTGTGATGACCCTGTAGAGGCAGACATTGAAGATGTGAGGAACTCTCCTTTTATCTGTGTTTTTGTATATTCGTATATAATGCATTGAATGCTACTGATAAATCTTTGTCTTCTCAGGAAGCTGTGTCAGAGGCTGAAGTTGATGCTGGATTTAGGGGCCTATTCACAAAGCTGGCTGGAGAGGTAGATCATTATAACTATTCAGGTTATAAACAAAGCTGATGTAGATACATTAAATACTTTATATTAATAGTAAAATAATTTTTTAGTCATTTAATGACCACTTTTGAAATAGTGTTACTAATTGTTTCCAGCTATCAGGGTTATTCTATTGTTGAATGGGATGAATGGGAGTCTAGGTGAGGAATGAGGGATGAAAAAATGACACATAGAGGATTGTAGGTCGGTATTACTGTGCAGTAGAATTTGAGTACATGTAGTTTGGTGCGCAATGAATTCAAAGAGTATGTGCTGGGGCAAAAATGAATGGGACTCTAAGGGAGAAACAAGTGATGGAAAAAATGACAAACAGATGAATGCGGGTCAGAACAACATTGAATTCTTGCTCAGGGGCCTGCCCTGAGATAGTATATGTAAAACGGTGAAGTACAGTATAGTAGATGGTCATGCAATTTTTCAGCCCATTTATTCCTATGAGAAAAAAATTTAACGAAAGATGTAACGAAAACTGTGCATCTGATCAAAAAGCTGTATACAAGCCCAAAACACAATCAGACCGGATAATCTGGAGTTGGAATGGTGTTGATATCTTGAAAACTGCGGGACAAGTTATGCGGCAAAAACCCGGCCCTGCTGCCAATATTAAAGGAAATCTCCTAACAGCATGCTCTGGAGACTAACTCAAATTTATGAAAGCCTAAAGGCTTTCTTTTAAAATCCACAATCAAACTTTAGTAAATTGAATAAAATATCTCCACAAATTTTTTGTGCAATCTTCCCAAACTCTGTATAGTCCTTAATGTGTAAGTCAATGAATAACTTAAGGTTTTTGGTTATTTTTGTGTAGTTTCCAGCCTTTTAACCAGTCTAAACCCAAATATCTTCAGTTTTTCCTGGTACCGTCAGCATGCAGTCATTATAGTGATCTTTACCATGGTTAAGTCATGATATGGTTTCAAATGTGTCTTGTCCAATCAGATCTTGTAAGAACTATCTCTTTTTTATAAACACAACATTAAAGATAAGCTTTGAGATGTCTAACTGTTCAATCTTCCACCAGGATATGGAAATATCTGCAAGTGAGCTGAGAACCATTTTTAATAAAGTAGTCAGCAAAAGTAAGTCTGGATTCTACTCTGTGGGACGAGTAATGATGAATTAAGCATATAAACCAAAGTTAACCAAGGCTAACTATGACTTTCTCCACAGGAACAGATATTAAGACAGATGGCTTCAGTTTAGACACATGTAGGATCATGGTCAACCTCATGGATGTATCCTTTTAAAATTGGACCCACAACATGAGTTAAACCTACATAAAACTATGACCATGAATGGCGCTTGGCGTAAGTTTTATTAGCTTATTGTTACTTTATGATTTACTGAAAATCCATCATTCCTTAACTGTAAAACAGGACAGTGGTAATGGCAAGCTAGGAATCGGTGAGTTTGCAACCCTATGGAAGAAAATCCAAAAATACTTGGTGAGTCTCTTTGCTGAACAGTTACATGCATGAGTGTATGTATATGACTGATCTTGAATAGTGGAAAAAATTACTGTACACTATATAGGATGAATTTTTATCATATTCTCCTTTAGATCATCTATAAGAAAAATGACATGGATGGATCTGGATGCATGAGCACACCAGAGATGCGCATGGCTTTAAAGGAAGCAGGTTAGTGTCATCTTTTTTTTTTTTATAATGTAATGTGAAGCTCAAACTTAAATCAAATGTATAAACAATATTTATGAGCAAAAAGGGAGAAATTTACAGTTTAGGGTTTTCACACAGGCTTCACTCTGAACAACGCTATCCATCAGCTTCTGGCTGCCCGATACGGCGAGACAGACATGACCATCGACTTTGACAACTTTGTGGCCTGTATGACACGACTGGAGATGATGTTCAGTAAGGATTTCTCATTCTTATGTTGTAAAGTATGATATGTACTTGTTTTATAGTCATTAGAATGGTCCAAGTGCAGATATATACATAATGGTTATAAAACATGGAGATACAATGGCTAAAGCTAAGCACATCCAAAACTAGTAGAAACATGGAAACAAAGCACAAGAGGAAACGTAATGCAAGCCTTAGAGAACTAAACCCATCACAAGAGAACAGAGAACACACAAACTGAAAAGCACAGGTATAAATACAAAGACTAGATGGAGTTGGAATCTGAAACAGGTGGACACAATGAGCGCGTTTACATGCTACTAATAATAATATACAGTATAACTGCAGAAAATCAGATTTTGTCAGTAATCCAATCATCTAGAAGATAAAGAGTATTTAAACCCTTCATTTCGTCAAACATGTAGTTGGTGTTAGCATCGCTCCAAAAGTGTTTTGCTGCATCTCGCGGCCACGCTGCTTACTTATTTCCAGTTCTGCGGTCTGTTACTCACACGCACAGACTCAGAAATCTGAAAAAAGTCCGAGTAAGAGTTTAGATGCACTGAGAAATCTGATTACTGAGCTAAAATCCAGCTCTCTATATCGGATTTCTTAATCAGATTTCTAGACCTTACTCTGATCTAAGAAATCAGAGTATGCTGTTTACATGACCATTTGAATAATCAGATAACTGCAGAAATCCGATAATGACCAGATTATTGAGTGCATGTAAACACACTCAATGATAGCGGAAAAGATGATGGGCGGAGCTTAGAGTAGCATGGACTACAAAAAACAAAAACCAGAAGGGCATGGGGGCCGCAGCACAGACCCAGGTGGGTGAGCTTGTGGCAAAGACATAAATCAGTAAAACAAATAAAGAGTTTTATTCTACAAACATTCCCCACCTCAGACATGAAAACCCAAAATGTTGATGCAATGAGATTCAGTCTATGGCTAGATTAAAGAAACCAAATGTAAAGACTGACATCCCAACATGTAATCCAGACGATAACAAAATCATTGCCATCTCTGATCAACCCATGCAAAGTGTAAAACTATCAAAACACAAAAGCCCCTGGCCCTGACGGGACACGTCAGAGAGTTCTAAGAGACTTTGCTTGCAAACTCAGTGAGTCACAGAATTTGAGAATGGCTAGAAATATGTGGATGACCCAAATCTCATCCATGTGCAGAGGTGGGTAATCCAGGTCTAGAAGGTACTGCCTGAACACCTTTGCTGCTGGTTTGAGTAAACTAGAGAAGTCTGGCAGTTGGAATAAAATCCTGGAAAGGATTTTTACATTTTAAACTTGGATTACCTACCTCTATCCGTGTGTACAGAAGAACCAAAGTGATTACCCCTCATATGGTTCTAGCTAAACTTGGCAGTTGGGTTCTCACATTAAATTCAACACTAAGGCTGTGATGTTTAGTAGAAACCTACCTCCAGTGCTGCTTTACCTCTCTGGCCTTCAGCCTTTTAAACTCATCCTTAAGAGACTGGCCACCACCCTCCACTGCCCACACAACCATCCATAAATAATAGCCAGTTAAAGATCCCAAAAATGAGAATTGATAGTCACTCATCCCACTCCTAGTGAGAATTTCAAAAATAGACATATAGAGTGTTTGCTATTATATGTATTTAGATGATGTTTTTTAGTATTTATTCTTTTTAAGTGGGCTTAAAGCTCATGCCATTCAGTTTTGTTAAGCTTAGTGCGTGAAATAAAGCTCCAATCCAAAATAAAATAAATCCAAAAACAGCCTTCACCTGACTATTTCTAGACATTTTTATCCTTATTTCGTTCAAAACTTCTTCATAAACTAGCCTGCTATTACTAACTAGGCCTAATATACTACCTTCCCCCTTGTAGAGCTGTTCAAGAAGATAGATGCTCATTCAACTGGCTTCATTGAGCTGGACCTTACTCAGGTAATCTCATAATTTATGCATGTGCTGTTACTTTTAATCAATTTTTTTCTCTGAATATTGATTTATGTGCTCTTTCTTTTTCTTCTTTTAGTGGCTGTCATGCGCCATGATCTAGAGGAACACAAGGCAATTCAGACTTCTTTTTTTCACGTCTGGTTGACCATTAACTTGTACACTAACCTAGAAGTACGGAGGCTTGAAGGTGACATGGTGATTATTTTTCATTAAAATTAAATCTGTAGCCACAGATTAATATATTAAGGCCACAAATTACAATACTGAGGCCACGAATTACTATCCTGAGGCCATGAGATATGAGAAACCTAACTTGTGGCCTCAATATAGTAATTCGTGGCCTCAAAATATTCATTCGTGGTCATGCCTTACTAAAAATAATCACCATGTCACCTCAAAGGCTCCATATAAAAGTGACATTAGGTCACGTTTTATAATCTATCGTAGGTAACCATGGTCTCACCGAATCTGTATCGCGTTTTATTATTTGCTGCTTTGATTTTACTGAATAAAATATCATTTTTAATCACGTTGTCAGGTTTTCACTCTGTAGCTTTTGCTGTATGCTAGTTATGTGGCTCGTCGCCAGGCTGCAGTGACTGCTGCCTGTGCTGGGCTGTGCAGTGTGGCTCGGATTGGACAGCTAACTGTGTCCGCGTCTCGCCACTGAGCAAATACCTCACATTCAGGGGAACACAGCGGTTAGCCCTGTTCCTCACCCCTAACACTGTCCGCCGAGGGTGTTGACCAGCCCGTCAGAGGTAAGGCTGCTGCTGTTCGTGTGTTATTTCTTCCCGAAGAGCGGTGATTTGATTTGTGCTACTTTTAGAATGGCTAACGGCTACAGCAGCCCTGCTAGCGCCCACTGACGGACTGTGATCTCCACAGGCTCTGTGGCTGAGTGGACGGGGCGTTTTGCCAAACAAATTCGGCTAATTCCTTTAAAGTCTGTATGCTTAGTCTTGAATCAGCGTTATATGTGTGTCTGCTAACCCTATAAAAGGCCTATTTATTCTGGGCAAAACTTCAACCCACTGTTAAGCCTGTCATTGGAAAGAATCAACAAGAGTTTGACGTGTGGAGTGCACTGAAAGGGGAGCTACACCGAGTTCTGAAAATTTGGGCCTAATTCAATCGTTGAGATGTAAACAAAGCCTGTTTTCAGACTGTTTTGATGTGAAATGGTGCATTGTAGAGAAATGTACAAACTTAGATTAATTTGCAGTGGTTATGATATGAACCAGGAGTTGTGATGTCAGTTTTATTTATTATGTAAAATGATAAGTGAACCTGTCTCGTGAGTAATATTTATAATTATATGTAGTATTAATAATAGTGTAGTGAAAATAGTTGTCCAATTAGTGGCAAATCTGAGGGGAAAGCATTTCTTGGACCTTACAAAGCCCTGCACATACCTTTCTGCCATGAATGGATTTTAAAAATGTATGTTTTAGACCAAAACCTTCTCAAAACCTTTGAAAACAGTGTCTCCGGCATCAGGCAGTGTATTTCCATGTTGTGTGTGTGTGAGGGAGCTTTTCGAGACATTAAACTCTTCAGGTGTCTGGTTACTATGACCACCACTGTGAACAATTCTGACTCGGTCAGTTTCTTTAGAACTTTGTCTCCACATCAAACTGCTCAGAATGACTTTGTTTACACCTTAACAGAAATGTTGAAAATCGGTGGAGTTGTCCTTAAAGTGGAGCTTTAACAATCAGTTTGGTTCCACTGTTTAAAACATTGTGGCCTATTTTTTCTCCAAATTACAGCGTCTGCTAGATAAGTACTTATTGTGTGACGTGCTTGTCTCCTGTTTCATCACTTTGTATCTCGATGTGGAACAAAAACAAGAGTATTGGGCTGTTATAATTTTGTGAAATTATTTTCATTGTTACTACTATTATCCCTTATTAAATTGATTAGAAATCACACATTCTCAGGGCTGCAGACAGAATCAAATTAGCAAATTACCTTTACCAAACTATCTCTACCTTTCAGAAAACTGTAGTGAATTAGGATTTTAAAGTAGCCTCCACAGTGCATTAACTTAAGTAAGGAAGAAAAACCAACTGGAAAAAAGTATAGGAGAAAAGAAACTGCAAAAATGAACAAGTAGGCAGACCAAGTTTTTGACCTCCTAATACTGGTTAGAGTAGTTTTAATATCATTGTACATATTCATAAGTATTTAAAGCAAAGCTTATCTTAGAGTGCAAAGGTGGTCAGTACTGATCATGTGCAACAGAATATATTTGACTCAGGACAATGACCAGTCACAATAAATACAGACAATACATGTGCAGCAGCAGTATATCTGCTGCATAAGTTATTCTTAAATAACTGTAACCAGTTACACCTGCACAAAGCCCTCCCCTGAACTTTCTGTTACGCTTAACCAGCCACTCTGTAGTGACACACTATCACTAATTATTTCAACATTTTAAATTAAGATGATTTGGAACAGTTTGCTTAACCACTTAAATTTAAACCTGTTATTCAGTAACTGGTATGAATTATTTGGTCACCACAACTAAACTAACATGTAAGTAATGTAGTTATGAGGCCCACATACAGGCCCTTGCACTTTAAGGTGTTAAAAGTGTTTCAGCCACGATCCTCAATCACTTTTACTGCAAATCCTTGCTCACTTCGGTTCCCAAAGTGAACACTGGCGCCTCTGTTGCTGATAGCATGCGTTTCTGTTGCTTGTTGAAACGAGCGGGGGGCCCTTCGTCTGGGGGAGCGGATCTCAGTTCTTGAGTGATCTGTTTTCATTGTCAGCGTTACAAAGGGCCGCCTGAATCAGCTGTTTGTATGGGGGAACCACACACTCTCTCTCTCACACACACACACTCACATAGAGGAGGATTCCAGCCTGATGAACGCACAGGACCAGCCATTTTTATTACCTTTGCTATATTACAATATTATGCCAGTTTGTAGATTTGCATAGGCTGTAGGAATGTGGAGTGTTTTAAAGTCAACATAAAATCAAAATTAACCTTTTTTTCATCATCATTTATGTTCTTGGTCTTTAAGCATAGTTAATCTTGCTATACCATATTCCTGCTATCTTCCATCAAAATGTGAAGACTAGGGCTGGCAGTTGATCCCAAAAGATATCGATTCCTTGATTTCAGTCAGGTGGGAATGAAGAGTTGACTCCAACGCTTTGGACTCAATTCCACACAGCGATGGTCAAGTGTGCGTGTGCCCTCATGCATACAGAGTGAGAGGTTTTGTGCTGTTCCTGTCTAGACACCCTGAATGAAAACCTGCATCCTTCCACAACGCACACATTGATAGTCCAGTGGTGTTTTATTTTACACAAGATGGAAAACAAAATAAAATGTAATATTTGTAATGAACCATTGGTGTACAAACAACCATTGCCAGTGCTGAAACATCTACCCACCTACAGCAGTTGACAGAGGAGAATCAGGTACAACTTAGTTAGTTACAACTGTTAGTCAGCTAAGTTCATTTAACTAACATTAGCTCTGCAAATTTCCTTTCCAAGATAACATACAATTAATATTTTACTCTTCATTTTTGCCAGATGTCCTTCTATGTGTCTTTTGGAATTTAGATTATTGTGTGGAAATGGCTCCAACAGTTACCTTCACTTAGAATGGGAATTGGAGTTGACTCCTACTGGAATCGAACAACGCTAGTGATGATTTTTGCTGACATCTAAAACATCTTATGAAGTTTGATTACATCATCAGCACCAGCAGGCAGGGAAAAATAATAGTAACCAATAATATCATGTTTCAACACCTCCCCCCCACCGCCCCCACCTCTTATCAACTAAAAACATGCTGCCAACTCAGAGACCCTCCTTGATACAGAGTTTCGCTATAGAAGGAAAATGAGTCATGACTTCCGTTTCATGTTGACTTTAAAAAGCATGATGACTTTATGGTGCCATAAATGTTGCTGAATTCAGTGAACGGCTCTCCCAAGCCTGAATATTCGGTTTTCCCACCAGTGTTTTCAAATCTTAACACTATTCATTTAAGTCATATATTTTCCAAGACTCTTAAATCTAAAGGTGCTAAAAGGTTGTTTGGCCAATGCCGTGGAAGAACTATGTTTAGTTTCTTACAGAACCTTTAAATGATCCTTTAAAGAAAATAAATTGAGTGTGGATTTCAGAGAACTTATATAATGTAAAGGTTCAAGTTTTTTTTTCCCCTAGAACTTTATATTCAAGCCAGGAACCAATTAAGGGCCTCTCTTTTTAAGAGTGAACAACTGAATTGACCTGCTTACCATAAAATATGTTTAAGAATGGCTGATCATTTTACTGTTGATTACTGTTGTGAATTGTGATTGCTTCTGTCTGATCCTTGATATTTGCAAATGTCAGGAAAGGTAACCCCCTCCCTCCATTTGATGACTGAATGCTGGTAGACGCTACATTTTATTATTATGTCTGAAACTAACATCAAAATAGTAATCTATACACTGATTGATGATGAACTACTAGACACCTTACTTATAGCCAAGAACCTATATCATACCAGAGTGTCAGCCAAAATAGGAGATGTTTACATTAAAATAAAAACATAAACAAACTAACTGGATTTTGTGGTGTTATTAGCTGTTGCCTGTGCTCTCAGACTAAAGCTTATGTTTTTTCAAAGGAGAGCATGACCCCCAAAGCCCAAAGGTCTTCCTCTGTGTTCCACCAAAAAAAAAAACAGTAACGTTGCTTCCACTTTGCACTTTGTTGTTCTCAGATCAAATGTGATTGCTGTGATGGTCGACTAGTTTCCATTCAGATGCTACCACTCGTTCCTTTGGGCCTGGCAGGTGTCCAACACAGCGTTTGCTCTTTGCTAAATTAGTACAGTAAAAATAATTAGTAAAAGTGATTTCAGTACATGTGTTCTAAAAGCAGTAAGCAGGTGAGTGAATTGAAATAAATTTCTTTTGAGTGTTTTAACTCATTCAAATTCATCTCCATTCTGCAGTCTGTATCGTAAGACTTGACTGGGTCTTCAAAAAAAAGATTTTCTGCATTCCTTTTTGCCTCTGTTCTCCTGGATGACCATTACTTCATTCACCTTTTCATCATTGATTGTTTTCAAACAGTTTTTGAAAGAGTTTATTAATTTGGCAATGTGGTACTTTTAATTGAAAGATTGTGATTTTTTTCTTTTCTTTTGCTTCATCATATAGAGTAAATCTCCACAAACCAAAATCTCCAGTGCTAAATCTTATAGGACGGATTTCCCAGACGTGGATAAAGTCCAGTTTCGTTGGATTTAGTGCAGCACAGCACGTAAAACAATGAATAAAAATTATTGTATTTGTGTGTTTTGTGGTATTTTTGTTAAATCTGCACAACTTGTCAAACCTAAAAAAAAAACAAAATAATGTAAAACGATATTGCCACCTGTAATAATATCTCCCTGTCTCCACCCCCACCTCAAGTGAAAACACTCAGCTAGCACAAAGAGCCTTCCTGGCATCTGACTTCGCTAAAAAAAAATAAATAAATAAAAGAAAAATTGAATTGCTTACTGTGTATTGTGATATTTATCATTCACTCTTAAAGTGAGCTCAAAGTATATTTAATTGAGTGAATGAACTGTGGATGTTGGTCAGCCCACTGTATGACTCAGTACTCATCAACTCCATTGCTGCATATAGCAGCACCACTGCTATTTATACCCCCTCTTCCCCCTGGACCCCTTACTGTCAGTCTTTTTTTGTCTTCCTAGCATGTTCTCGTACGGAGGGATCTCAGCACACATCAGTGCTAACAGGCTAAAGGCAGAAGGAGTTGGTTCCTATGAGCAAGCTGTCCACTTCCAAAACCAGGTCTTTGAGGATCTCAAGCAGGAGTGTCTGGAGGGGGGCTTCCTGTTTGAAGACCCTTGCTTCCCCGCTGAGCCACCCTCACTGGGATTCAAGGAGCTTGGACCCTACTCCTCCAAAACACGTGGAGTCGAGTGGATGAGACCTACGGTGAGAGACAGAGGAGGAATGAAAGAGCTAGTCCAAAGTTCAAACATCACTTACTTTTCTGATGAACTTGAAAGTTGTTCACTAATCATAGAAGCCATTTTCACACATGTTTAAGGGCCCACATCATGGAGAAGCCAGATTTTCTTAAATACAGTGATTGATGTACAATGTAAAGATTGTTACTGCAGGTTTACTCCCAGGCCACTCAGTCCAAATATGGAAACTAAGCTATAATTTTTAATTCAAAATGGTTGTGGTGTCAGTACCCCTATTTCATATAACCCCAAGGTTGAGAATGTAACGGAATACAGGTGTTGTTAATAAGTGCTCAAAATACAGAAATTAATTATCTGTATTCAAGTTACATTTTGTACAGGCAATATTCAGAATACAAGTAACTTTTAAATTCTTCAGGAGAATAATTTTAGAATACTCACCATCTAAATGAAAAAAAAATGACTTGGAAAATAATCTTGTTCCATTGACTTACATTAAAAGTAAAATAGGTTGCAGATGCGAGGTTTTGTTCTGAAAACAATGATATATAAAATAGAACTGCCATCACTGCTTGCTTATTAACTACTTTAAAATCAGCACATAAAGCATGTAAAGACATGCTGTAAAGCAGAACTTAAAAAATGGCTTGTTTACAGACACTGAAGTTCCAGCTAAAGCCTGAGTGGACTGATAAATCAGTGTGAAGATCAGTTATTTATCTCAGAGTTACTAAGCTCTGGTAAAGCCTGAGTAGACTGATAAATCAATGTAATGTGCCAGTTGTTTGAGAGTTATAACTCCTTTGATGGATTGTAGACATGTTCATGAGTGATAAGCTTCTAGACTCATGCATGTGTTTTGTGGCGTGTTACATACATGTCAATGACTAATAATCACTTAACTACACATTTTATAGTCAGTCAGAAGAGGAAAAAAGAAATTTTTGTTTTTTTTTCATTAAACATTAAACAGTAGAATTACATGAATTACAAACCATGAACCTCTGAGCCAATCTTTAATCATAACAGCCATTTTGGCTCATGTTGAAGTGATAAGGAGAGTTGTTGCTGCAGCCAGTCTGTAGCAGAGGTATTGTAGTGGAATATGTGGGGAAAACGATTAGATGTTATGTTGTTCCTGGCTGAAGCAGATATACCACTGCGGTTTTGGTGAAGGATCCAGATGTCTGAAAGGTTAATTATTTTAGGCTCAGCCTGCTTTTTGATTGCAGCACAATAAAAGGAAGTTAATCAGAATAGAAGCCATTTACTTACATCAGCATATCAGAATGCACAGTAACAAAAACATCCGGTTTAACTGAAAGTGTGAAAAGATTGGATTTGGAAAGCGGCCATAGAAAACTGAAGAATGACTGTTTTGGTACTTAGTAAGTCTTTAGTCTGATAAAATAGAAGAAAAATGTAGTATGGAGCTTTGAATAAACAGACCAGAGCCCATTCACAATTGCAAAGAATGTGAGACTCCCTGCTGTTGGGCAGGTTGTGTTGATCACTGGCAGGATTAAAAGTACTGACCTATAACACCACACTAGTCGTGTAGAGTATCTCAACACTAACATGCCACTTGGATCTGCCCTTCTCGGCAGTAGTTTAGTGTAGGAGGCTTAGCGTGCCTCACTGCGCAGGACTGAGTTAAGGGCCCCTCTCCTCTCATTGTTTACATTGCAGCTGTTGTCTCCATGTGACAGACTGTGTGCGGTCCAAGTGTTTTAAATTTCAGCTTACATGCTGTGGAGTAAAGAAATACCAAAGTGTTTTAGACAGGCACAAGTATTTTTGACCTGTCTAGAAACTGAATAGATCCACTTTATTTTAATAAAATGTGGAGCACTAATAATGTAATTTTGGCTACTATTAATAATAAGTACAAAAACAGTTCTTCTGTCAAGCAATCCAGTTTGATAAGGGGGAATTCGATTCATGTTTTAATGAAGTTTTAAAGTGCAGTTTATTACATTATATTATATATTTTGACTATATTTTGTTACTAAATTTGAAATGAAGACAAGAATGTAATCAGTTATGTATAGTTTAAAAGTATATTGGATCTCACTTTGGGTGAGGGACTGGAGTTAGGGTAACTTTCCCTAGATCTTTTCTGTAAATCCCTAAAACCTTTTAATGGGGGAACTTTTTTTTAACTCTTCAGACGTCTAGTTCCTGTCACCACCAATGTGAACAGAGCATTTCACACTCAACCACTCTGAAAGAAATTTGTTTACATCTTAACCATTTAATTATGCGGAAAATTTGGAGGAACTCTCCTTTAACTACGAGTGTAGAAAATGTAGAATTTTTGTAAACATACATTAGCAGAAGTCATTTTTGACCAGTCTAGCGGTTATTTTAATCAGATCTACAGCACTTATAATTTAATTTAGGCTACTGTCAATAATAACCCAAATAAACGACTTTTCCGCCAAGCATGTAGTTTGTTGACAACAGGCTATGGTTGCCAAAAAACATAAGTTATTCCGTGAACAGCATAATGACTTTTTAAATAACCTGGCACTTTAATATACAATTCAACTGATGTGTGCAGTCATATATTAAGTATTTTACAGTGACTTCATACATGGCTTAGCCAATCAGATTTTAGAGCTGGAATTATCCATTTTACACTGCTGTGAAACTCTTAAAGAGTTCTGCTTTTTATGGTTTGAACTTGTTTTTCCATCAGGAGCTATGTGATGATCCTCAGTTCATCCTGGGAGGAGCTACAAGGACAGATATCTGTCAGGGAGCTCTTGGTAAGATGATATTGTTTCTGTGAATCCTATATGCTAAATAGCTTTTGTCAAGGTTTTAAGAAGCTCTGACTGTTTATGTGTATTTATCATGGTATTCCTAGTGACCCATGCTATACTTTAAGCAGAAATGGGATTCCTAAAACATGAGTTAGAGGGAGTGGCGCTGACTCATAGCTGTTCTGAGCTGTACTCAGTATAATTCAGCTGTCTCCCACAGACCTGGAGTCAGTCCATGTCTTCAAAGTGCAGAGTTGAGTCAGCTTATCGTCTCAGATTCCTATGACAGGACTTTTATGGATGCAGACAAACTCCATACCTACACCCATTTACAACCAGATAATATATAACTCAATAACTCATGCGTACTCAGTCCACCAGCCACTCACATGAACGATTTTTCAGTTCTGTTTGTGTGGAAAATTCTTTTTGGCGCCAAGGCCGGGTTCTGTCAGGGATGGTAAACAGCAGTGGGCTCTCTCTGTAGTGATTCACAGAGGCCTCACTGTGACTCTGGAAGGCCAAAGAAACACCCCGTCCTTCCTGATGTAGTCCCCCTGCTGGGTAAAATGGGTATTTCTGTTCTACTTCTGTAAAAAAAAGTTATGACTTTATTGAGGCCTGACCGATTTTTAACATTGTAGGAAAAATAAGAGATTAAATTAACAGACACCAACATAACAACTATGCTGGGAAACTTTTTTTTAAAGAGAACGTGACTCTTAAAACGAAAAATATTGTACATGTCCAATACTATTAAAAATATAATGTATAAACCAAATGGAAATATTTTATTGAAAAAAAAAACATGAGAAATATCCAGAATACCTCTGCTAGTCATCACTGTTGTGCTGTGATGGTGTCTACATATATAAATGAATATGAAGTATATGTTTGAGTTAAATTACACATTTAGCTCGCTCTTCCTTGCTCAGTGAACAAGAGCGAAAGCAACCATCTGATGCTAAAACAAAAATGGCAACAAAAATAAAGTATTTTGCAAGGTTTGTGCTACATATCTTAATAGTATAGGACACGTCCCCCATATTGCTTGCATGTCTTAACAGTCAGGGTTCCCTTTAAGAATTTATTTGAGTTCAAGAAAGCTGACATTGAGAACTGACAGTTGATGGTTGACAACTGAAAATTCATCACATCCATCAGTAACGCAGTTCAACTAGTATATTCACATTTTGACCATATTACAAACCTCAGCTTCGGAAAAAGTTGGGACAGTATGTGAAATGCTGTTTACAACAGAAAATAGTAATTAGAAAATTCCATTTGAATGTTTGATGTTTTAATTTTTGAACAGGATTATTATTGTGGTCATTCTAAATGTGACGTCTGGAACCTGTTCCAAAAAATGTAGCATGTTTGCGACTGTATTCCACTGTAGACACCAACTGATCCAGACACAAATCCACAGCTGTGCAATTGTACAGGGCCTACATTGTCATATCTGGATGGTTCTTTATCTTACAATGTCCATTATTTCCATAAACAATCAGAAAGGATCAGACCACAATACACGTTTCCACTTTGTATCAGTTCATTTCAGATGAGCTCGAGCCCAGAGAAGTTGGTGGTGTTTCTGGGTGTTGTGATGTTGCTGTGTTAACTTGGATGCAGCAACAAACAATTTTATTGACAGCAGTTTGTCAAAGCATTCCCAGGCACATGTGGTGATATCAATCACAGAAGCATGCTGGTGTTTAATGCAGTCCTGTCCAAGTTGTCAAAGGTCATGGCCATTCAGTTGTGGTTTTTGGTATTGCCCTTTACGCGCAAAGACTTTTTGGGAATCCCTGAATCTTTTTATGATATTACACACAGTAAAGGGGTGAAATACCTACAATCCTTGCAAACACTTGTTGAGGAGCCTTGTTCTTAAACAGGTGGGTTATTCATTGATGCATTTTTTGACAAAGTTAGGAGCCTTAACCTTTGCTTGCTCATTTAGGACTAGGCTTTTCCTGGATGCTGCTTTTGTACCCAAGTGTAAAAAGTAGAATTCCATCACCTGTTTAAGTTGTGTTTTTGAACATTTCACAACAATCCAAGTCTTAAAATCTTGAAATGACCCTGTCCCAACCTTTTTGGAATGTGTTGCAGGCACAGTTTCAGAATGAGCTTGTATTTATAAAACCCAATGAAGTTGTTTAAGATAAAACATAAAATATCTTCTCTTTGTATTGGTTTTGTTTACATACAGGTCAAAATTGATTTACAAATAACTGCTTTCTGTTTTTATTTGCATTTCACATAATGTCAAAACCTTTTTGGAAAAGAGGTTAGTAAATAACATTGAATGATATAATCAGCTTTTACAACTTTGAAGTTAATATTAGTGGCAGAATATTTCATATTTAATATTGCTTGAGCCCTAGAATTTACAGATCCATTTTGACTTAACTTCCTCTTTTGATTTTTTTTTCTTCCTCTAGGTTCTGTTTAGGAGACAGTATATTCTGGAGAAACACTACCCATATGGTTGCCAGCAGTCGTAATCAACTTGACAGCACTTAATAATAATGATGTCCTCTCTCTTGTCTTCTCGCATACTCCCATCAGGTGATTGCTGGCTTCTGGCTGCCATTGCTTCTCTCACCCTGAATGAAAAAATCCTACACAGGGTTGTCCCTCATGGACAGAGCTTCCAGGATGACTACGCTGGGATTTTCCATTTTCAGGTACTACAGTGTTCTTCATGGAAACCTTTATTATGTACATACATAATGGAGATTTAACACTGTTAGTTTAAACTTTGCAGTGCAATTGGCTAAGAGATATTCTACTTTTTAAATCTCTTTAAGTGTCACTCAGTCTTAGCAGAGGCCACTTGTAACCATGTGAAGTGACAGCTGTTGCAAGAACATTCTTAAACATAAAGGTGTTAAAAAGGTTCTTTGGAGTGATGCCATAGCAAATCTACTTTTGCCTCCCTTAAGAACTATTCATTAGATGATTCTTTAACCACTTACATGGCCAGGGCCCAAAGTTTTATTACAAACTTCTATTACCTGAAAATAGCTCAACCAGTTTGCATTGAAGTCCTTATAGTTACTGGACAATAAGCCTTAGTATGTAATAAGCCTGTGATTTTAAGGGGTTACAGAAAAACTCTCTCAGCTTTTTATGAGATGGTATAGGATTCATATTTATAGCTTCTCTGATTTGCTCAAAGTATATTTCCCAGTAAAGTAATTTGGCTACAAATCGTTATTGTCCATAATCGTTGATTCAGATGCTGATGTACTTAAAGCATTTTGTCGCTTGTGCTTTAGTTCTGGCAGTTCGGGGAGTGGGTGGACATTGTGATTGATGATCGGCTGCCGGTCAAAGATGGAGAGCTCATGTTTGTGCACTCTGCAGAGGGAAACGAGTTCTGGAGTGCTTTGATAGAAAAGGCCTATGCCAAGTATGTTGTTGAATGCTTTTGTTTTTGAACGATTTGCTAGAATATTTACTTATAGGCTGGTATACTAATAATCAATAAGGCTTATTATTCGATTACTAATTGTAACTTTTATGAATTATTTTGTTACTACTATATAGCTAATTTATATGTTATGTGGTTATAAGAGTGAGGGGTTTAAGTTCAGGTCCTTAGAGTTAAGGGGTTATCGGGTCAGTAAGTTGCACTTTTACAATTTGCTTGCACATCACATAAATAGCCTTCAAAGACAGTATAATTTTACAAATATGCATGTCATTATTTTAGATAAAAATATTAAATCTACCATTTAAAAGGAAATTAATTCTTTAGGCTCTGTGCTGTATCCTCTACATGTCACCATTATTTAAGATACATTTCTTTTGTGAGCGCCAAACACCACTGTGCCACTCCATGTTAATGACTGAAATGCAGAAAATTGATCACCACTCAGATAATATATATTTGAATCAGCAGATTAAAGGGGGCTGATAAATAATGCAGCAATAGAGGGGATACAGTCAGTATTTGAAAGTTTTTGTTTCTGATAAAATTTCTAAATTGCCAACTTAGAGTATACTGTGCTGATGTTTGCTATTGTTATATATGTTTTGGGGTGCAAAATCTCCTTCAGCACCATGACACAAATGAGATGATAATGAAAAATGTATATGCATGCTGTGTCTACAGACTGAATGGCTCCTATGAGGCTCTGTCAGGTGGCTCCACCACTGAGGGGTTTGAGGATTTCACTGGAGGTGTGTCAGAGATGTACGAGCTCAACGAGGCTCCCAAAGATCTCTGCCGCATCATCTCTAAAGCCCTGGAGAGAGGCTCCCTGCTGGGGTGCTCCATTGATGTGAGATATATGACAGTGTAACTGTGCAACTGACAGTGTAAAACAACAAACATAAATATACAAACTAACACTGTAATAGGTTAAGATCTTGATTATATGGCTTTTACCTTTTCAGACAACAACTATTATTTTATTAATAGAGCCCTTGCCATGCAAAACAGTATGTGACATTTTTTGTAAAAATTTTGTAAAAAAAAAAAGTGTGGTATGATGCCCTGCCCTGTATTTAAAATATAGGTGTCACTAAAACATAAATAAAACATAATTTGGCTTTTTAATGTAAAACGCTGTACAAAGTAAAATCAAAAACAATATAACTGCGAGTCCAAAAGATTGGAATGGATAATATATAGTTTTTCTTTGAAGGGGCTCAACTGATGTGTAAATAATTGCAATGAACAGTTTAATCATCTCTTTTTCAGTTAAAAGTTTGCAACCTTTAAAGTACTAGTTTAAAGTGGTCAAATTGATGTGGCCAACTTTGGACTTGCTTCATAAGCACGTGGAACACATGGCAAAGGATCTGAGAAAACTCACAGAAACTTTAGTTCTTGTTCTCATCTCAACCCAGAGCGTTCCTGGAGAATTTTGCATAGCTTACAGAATCTTACTTATGATCTTTGAGCCTTTACTGTATTTACAGATCACCAGTCGATTTGACATGGAAGCTGTAACTTTTAAGAAGCTGGTAAAGGGCCATGCCTACTCAGTGACCGGCCTTAGCCAGGTACGAGCTTGTCTTTATGGATGAGTCCATTTGAAAATCCAGTATGTAATATATAAAATGTAAAATACATTATAATGTATTGTCAGCATATTATGTTTTTGTATGGGAGTCGAGTGCTTCACGTGGTTACTTGATGAGTGTGTAGTACTGTTTTCTTGTCTGTGTTAGGTGAATTTCAGGGGTCATACGGAGAGACTGATTCGTATACGTAATCCTTGGGGTCAGGTGGAATGGACAGGTGCCTGGAGTGACAAGTGAGTATAAAAGCCCACAGACTGGGCCTTAACCTAATGTGGTGACTTGAAAGAATTCATTCACAAGACACTGACTATGTAACAACAACTAAAGGCAACTTCTCTGTCTGCCACTATTCTTAACTAGCTCACCTGAATGGGATGAAATAGATCCATCAGAGCGAGAAGATATGTGTCTGCAGATGGAGGATGGAGAGTTCTGGTGAGCCTGCTGTTTTATGTATACAGAGATTCCAAAAGTCTGACACCAAATCTAGGATTGTTTTCATTTAATTCTGCAAATAAACAAAAGAAAGTTACAGAATTTCGACCAAATGTAAAACAAAGACAAGTTATTACTTTTATTTTAAGTTATGAGTTTTTAGTCCTCTTCCCTTTTTTCAAGCTCGTGTTCAGACGGCTGTCAGGTGGACAGCTACTACTTCTCAGAGGTTTTTGTCACTGTTGGTGATCAGAGTCCATTCCATCTCGAGCACACGATTAAAGCAAAAGAGGGATAAACACTAAAAAATTCACTCAAAATTTCAAAGATTATGTTGTTCACTCATACTGTTAATATCATTTGTAATGAAAAACTTTGTATTAAATTAGAAGAATGCAAAATTTGCAAAAAGACACATTTTGATTAGTGGCCTCAGCTGTTGGACCCCACTGTTTACTTGTAAATTACCTTCAATAGGCTCTATGAAACTTTTAAACATCTTCTGACGCAATGAGAACGGGACTCTTAATTCCCTAAATATTTTCTCACAGTTTTACTGTCTCTCTGTAGGATGTCCTTTAGTGAGTTTTTGCGGCAGTTCTCCAGGTTGGAGATTTGTAACTTGACTCCGGATGCCCTGAGCGAGGATGCGATGAGCTGCTGGAATAACATCACGTTCCACGGATCATGGAGGAGGGGCAGCACAGCCGGAGGCTGCAGGAACCACCCCAGTGAGTGCACACTGTGGAACTTTGTGATCTGTTGCTTGTATTATAGAGAGCTGTACCAGGGCTTAAGTTATGCCAGTGCTTCAAACAAGCCAACTCCTTTTTTGGTTTACCTTGTTCACATATGAAATAAACTGGATGATCTTTAAATATGTTTAATGAAAAAACATAATACTTTCTGCAAACAATTCACCATATTTCCTTAACAAAATGTTGTAGACTTGACTGAGTCTGGTATATATTTAGCTTTTGTTTGGAAGTAGCTACTGTTTAGGTGTGCAACTTGCAACTTAGTTGCCGCCACTGGGAGACAAAATCAGTGCTTTATGTTTATCACTTACAAATACATCCACTAGTGATGGGACTGTTCGATCCATCAATGGAGCTTAGTAACGGTGAGAAAAACAACCAACTCATGACATACAATAACACAAAGGTATTTACCGAGTTCTTCTTAAGAATCCATGTAAAAAGTGTTGGGAAAGATTGCTTAAGGACATGCCTTTTGTGACCACCTGCTATTGACCTGCTGGATCTGTCACCACTCAGTGTTTCAGAACACCATAATTTACAAATCAGGCACTCCCTGTAACGTCAACAATCTTAAAATCTTGAAAACTTGAAATGTTTATTAATAGTTCTTGTAGAGCTCTGTGTTTCTCAGTTTATGACCTTAACCTTAATTATCAGTACTATAAATATTCAGTCATGCACTACACGTGGTGACAAAAGTATAGCCAAAATTCACAGTTCAAGACGGCTGCTGCTAGTGCTTTTAACTATATGAAAAGTGGAAAAAACACATAAGCAAGTCTATTTGAAATTACTTAAAGTCCCAGGGAATAAATATTAATATGTGAAATATTCCAAATGTTTGCATGATACTAAAATTGAGTGTTATATTTACATCAAGCAAAGCTAGAAAAAAAAGCAGTGAATTGTCTGGACGTGGTCTAATATTCTCATGAGCACACTCTTTTCAGCATTCTCAGCCTGCTATGCTGCTGATGAGAGCTAAACGCAATAGTGCGAGTGATAATAAATGAGTGAAATGGACACTATAGGTGGTGTTGTACACTTACGCCCTGTGTGTCCTCGTAAAAAACATTATGTAGCTTTTATGTGGTGAATTATTAAAGAAGGTAAGGTTCTTATTCACTTTACTGCTGGATGTGCATCCAGGGAATAGACACACAGAACGTTGGTGTGGCCAGTTGGATGAATGGATGTACAAATGGACAAACAGGTGTCAGGCGTAGAGACATACATGAGCTAGCTTGCACTTTCGCCAACTGTGCATTCCATCTGAATGTTCTTCTCTTTTGCAGACACGTTCTGGATCAACCCGCAGTATAAGATCACTCTGTTGGAGGAGGATGATGATCCAGAGGATGACGAGGTTGCCTGCAGCTTTCTTGTGGCTCTGATGCAGAAGGACAGAAGACGCCATCGCCGACATGGACAGGACATGCACACCATTGGCTTTGCCGTCTATGAGGTAAGGACTGGGCAGCATCAAGGATCACAGATCTCTGCTTGTAAACTTATGAAACTACTAAAGTATAAGGTACAAGCAATATAAATGTACAAGAATGGCCCTTAACGTTCAATTGTGTACCTTAAATAAGGTATACTGCGTTCAGTTTTCATGGTGGAAGGTCAATATTTGTATCTTTTCATAACAGAACTTTTTAAAAATGGAAAATAGTCCAAACTGTGTGTGTGGAGTGTGTAACCAAATTTGCAATAGAACATGATACAGTTCGGTTCCCCCAGTTCTTGTACCCTAAAAGTTAGACTTCAGTATCTTTTGCTGGAGAGCTACGTTGTACCCGTGCTTGTAAAAATAATTCTAGTTTCTTTTGGAAATTTAGCCATAATGTACAGACAGACAAACAAACACTACAAAACAAATGTTAGCCTGACAGTTACATCCTATGTGAGCTTTGTCTATGCAGGCTGCCTGGCCTATATTATGGTAGGGAAACACTGGCACTGATATAACAGTTTTAGATAAGTGTTCCTGTTGTTTTTAGTGAATCAAAGTATTTATGTAATTCAGCAATAGTACAATATTTTGGTTAGCCCAATGTATTTTAGCTGCAGAAAAGTATTAGCAGTATAAATGTAATCTGGTTTGTCACAAAACTTACCCTTTAAGCCACATAAGGAGCCAAATACAATGTCTATGCTGAAGGTTCTGCTCTTGGTGGTTGATTTAGGTGTGTTCTTGACTGCTCTTGTTTTCTCTTCTTTGCAGATTCCTGAGGAGGTATGGACTTATGCTGCCCCTTCAACAGGTTGACCTACAGTGTTTAAGACCTAGTTACTTGGCACATTCCATGTGATGACCGTGGATATGTCCACTCTTTTGTCTATCAACAGAATGTCTGTTATGATGCCACCATGCACATTCAAATTTACAATGTTTCTAATTTTGGCTGCTCATCATTTAATCCTGCTTGTATCAGTTCTGGTCAGCATAATCAGTTCTGTTCTGTGTGGCTGCAGTTCAGGGGTTGTCAGAACGTCCACTTGAAGAAGAACTTCTTCCTGACCCACTCGTCCTGCGCTCGCTCGGAAACCTTCATCAACCTGAGGGAGGTGAGCACTCGACTGCGCCTGCCTCCTGGAGAGTACCTCATTGTCCCGTCCACCTTCGAACCCAGCAAGGAGGCCGACTTCGTCCTGCGGGTCTTCACTGAGAAGCAGTCTGAGACAGAGTGAGTTTTTGTGAAGTGTGGACGTACTGTCAAGTAGTGGAAATCACAGAACTGGAAATATGTCAACTGTTAACTGGTTCTGCAGTGGATGTTTGAGTACTGTACTTCACTGTGAAACAGCAGGAAGCTTTATAATTGTATAAGCTTTATAGATGGCACCTATATATAGACCTAAAACTGTTTGTCTGATATGATTTTTTTTTGATTTATGACAGGGAGCTGGATGATGTGATATCTGCAGACTTGGAGGAAGAGGTGGGTGTTGTGTGACGTTGATCATATTAAATTAAAGTACAATATAGATTCAGCAGATTTAGTCTTGTGTGTGTATATAATGTTTATGTTGTCATTTAGGAGGAAATCTCAGAGGATGACATAGATGACTCCTTCAAGTCTATGTTTGCTCAGCTCGCTGGAGAAGTTAGTACCTTTTGCTGTCCTTAATATCAATGCTATCATATCAAACCCTCACAACTATTTTTGTTGTTGTTTTTTACTTTTCACTGGTCCAAAATTAATTACAACAAAATATCATTACCTTTACCAATAACTCTGCTGTAAAGTTACCATTTCTGAGTTGAGGATTTATCATGACAGTGGTAATACATTTTCTTTCTATTATACAATGGTTGTAATTGATGTTACACTAAACAATAATACATACAGTATTGTGCAAAACAGCGATTAAGTGCAAGTTATTCATTTTTAAGGTGATATTTGTATAAGAAAAGTGAAAGGCAAAGTAAAGTAAATGAAAAGTGAGGAAATTTCCAAAACTGGAGTTCAGAATATGATTAAAAGATATAAAGAAATTGGGACTCCTAACACCTTTGTAGACCACCAAAACTGTCACCAATAGATGAACAGCACTTAAAGCTTTCATCTTTGAGAGAGAGGAGAAAATCAAGTTCCACTCTTGCTTTGGATCTGAAATCCACAGGTGTTTTTTGTCCATCCTTCCACTGTGAGAAGACAACTCAGCGCTATGAGTCTGAAAGGATGTGTAGCTGTCAAGAAGCCCTTAATAAGAAAAAGGAAAAGACAAAAAGAAAAAACATTTGCCAATCAAACAAAGAAGCCGCTTATATTATCAGAACAGCAGACTGACCACCTCGTAGTCCAGACCTCAACAACAGTGAATGTGTTTTGGATTACTTGGACTAGAGAAACATAAAATGAAAAATGAAAAAATATCCCTGCAGATTTCTTTGAAAAACTGAAAGCAAGTCTCCTGAAAAGAATGGAAGCTGTAAGAAAGGTAAAGGGTGACACACTAAATACTGAAAAATGTATGTATAGTTTGTCAGGCTTCTCTATCATTTTTTGTTAAATATATATGTTCTGTTTTTTTGGCACAGAAAATGGCAATTTAGATAGGAAATTAAATAAACGAAGGGTGCCACATACTTGATCCTGTTAAAACTAATGGGTGGAACAATTCTGCTTCATATATTATTTCTCTTTTATAGGATATGGAGATATCTGTCCATGAACTCAGGACCATTCTGAACAGAGTCGTGTTGAGACGTAAGGCTCATTCTTTTTAAAACATTGTGATTTTAACCACATTATTTCTTTTTCACAGTTTAAAGATAATCAGATAAATATGAACCAAAATTTCTACATTTCAGCTTTTATTTCAGGGCATAATTGCTTTTTGTTTTGGCATTTGGCGCTTTTTTATGATACTTAATATACAATATTAGGTAAGCATACATAGAGGGACAAATTCACTTAAATAAATAATAACAATGGAAAAACTAGTATAAAAATGAGTATTTAGATCTTTAAAGAAAATAATCTGAAATATCTTGACATAACTGTAAATAAATCTGCATACACAACTACAACTGAAGTCACCAACAACCTCCAAAATGCAATTTAATGAATGCAAAAGACTTCAGCTACACTTACTGACAACACCAATGTACAGTCAGAGATTACAGATGATCTTTGTCCTTCAGTCAGTGGTCTGTTTCTGACCACAGGACCATCGCTGGCTGTTTTCTGATGGCAGGTTGTTCTCAAACCATAAGTATGTGTGGGGGGGGGGACTAAATATATAAAAGTACCAGTCCAGAATCAACAGAAATTCTCGGAATTACCACGAAACAAAGGTGCCATCTTTAATTTTGCCTCCTATGTTTTTCTTTCATTTTTAAAGGGAAAATTCCACCAAAATTTCAAGTCATTACGAAAGCTTTCATGTGAAATACTGCATTATAGAGAAAATGTGACTGATTTCTTTCAGTAATTTTAGTGGAGATCCAGGAGTCATAATGTTTACAACATGAATATAACCATTTTATTTTTAATTAAACCTACACGTGTCTTCTGGGTTTTTATATGTAATGTTGGTGATGGTAAAATAGTGGTAAATCTGAAAAAAGTTTTCTTTAGGGACTTACAACACGCTGCATGTACCCCTCCAACATAAATGGATTAAAAAAAAAATAAAACTTTTTCTATTCCTAAGAAATTTGTGTAATAGCTTTCTGTGACTCTGAATGACTTTGTAACCATTTAATTATTCAAATATTTTGAAAAATCTTTGGAAATCCCACCTGTGTCAGTATACGCTATGTTATATATGTTTTAGTAAGGGACTGTGTGAGTAGGCCATTGTTATTCGCTATTAATTTTAAATAAAAGGTGTATTTTATTCACTCAGACAAAGACCTGAAGACAGACGGCTTCAGCATGGAGTCGTGCAGGACTATGGTCAACCTCATGGATGTATCCTTCCACTAAAATTCTCCCCACTGTCAGTGCACTAGATTTGTAAGCTTAAAATCCACTGTCAGTTCTTCTTGTCTGGTTGTTCTCTGTAACTCCATCACTCTTCAGAAAGATGGCAGTGCACGCCTGGGCTTGGTGGAGTTTCAGATCCTGTGGAACAAGATCAGAAAATGGCTGGTGAGAAGAAAGAAATGCACTTTCTTTTTTAGAACATTCAGTACGAGTTTCTTAGACACACATTCTGACCTCATTGGACATCTTGAGAGACCATTGAGTGAGCAGCGGTCAGTGGAGGGTTCAGCTGTGGAACAGACTTTTTTATAGCTTGTGTGCTCTGCTGTAGCTAACCTATTGCAAATGCTAGTATATATGAAAGAGTACTACTAGATATTAATACACAGTTGATTCACTGCACTTAAAATACCCTTGAAAGATTAAACACAGCTATTTTACCCTAACATCAGAAGACATGCCATTTTAAACATACGGTCGTATGCAAAGATTTGGGCCCCCTGGTCAAATTACATTTTGTGTCATTTTAGTGAAATTAACACATCCTCTACAGAGAACATGTTTAAGTTCATTTGCTGATTTTAAAATATTGGGGGGAAAATAAAGCATAAAATCTGCCCTGTGCAAAAGGTATGCACATTTTATATTTTACTTTTCATTTTTATTTCAATATGTTAAATTCAGCAAATAAATATAAATTGTGGTCTAAAATTACCATAAAATGCAATATTTAAATTTGTTCCCTGCATAAAACTTATTTTCACTTAGAAATTCCAAAAACATAATTTGACCAGGGATCTTTAGACTTTTACAGACAACTGTATCATATTAGCATATGTTAAATGAAGGATATTCATCATTTTAATCATGTTAATAATTTAATAATATAATAATTTCCTGCTGGCCTAATTATATAGCGTTTTCCGAAGGCCCGATTAGGTAGTAAATAAAAAGTTTTTTGTTCCTGCTACAAAATGTCAGAGCCTAAAATTTCCATTGGCTTGTTATTACCTTATCACTTAATATTTGTATATAGAGCTTAAAGGAATAGAACAGACAATAACTTTTTGCCTATACTTCCTATACTTTATATATTTTCCTATACTTCCTATATTACAGGGTGATTCAAAAAGATTCATCCGATTTCAAACTGATTTATTTCACTTGTAAATCATTACAGAACAATGCAGTAGGTTGTAAATGGCTTAAGTGACCATAGACTTTCTTATGTAATTTTACAAGTGCTCAGTATGAACCTCCTCCAGCTGTACGGACAACATCAGCGTGATAGTCAAATTCATCCCATACTTGATTGAGCATGTCGGGTGTCACTGTACTCACAACTCTTTCAGTGAGATTTCGGAGATCACCCAGTGTTATTGGGAGCGGTGGAACATAAACAGAATCCTTAACGTACCCCCACAAAATAAAGTCACACGGCGTGAGATCTGGTGATGCTGGTGACCTTTTTCTTGGAATTGTTGGTACTAATGACGAATGCTCTGAGCTGTTGAAGGTTCACTGCCATACTGACTGTCAGAAACTCTGTACCCCCTCTTTTAGTTGGTATGTGATTGGTTCCTAAGCGCCTCACGATTGTAAAAATATGGTGCTTTGAAATCGGAGGAATCTTTTTGAATCACCCCGTATATAGTAAAAGAACAAAAAATTATTTGCTCGACACTCACTTATATTTGGTGATGAGCACTGGTGCTGGAACAACAGCCTATGGCTTTTACTATCAATGTGTTTTAAGGTCAACAGGTTTTCTGCTCTTTTTATAATTAAGAGTTTAATGATAGTATTTTTTCTCTCTCATTATAACTAAAAACCACCACGTATATTTTTCGTACAAATAAATGTGCTATTTGCATGTTATGTTCCCTTTTTTGTGGATGCAAGTACACAAGGTATTATGTTTACCATGTAAATCACTCATTTTTACATTTAATTCCATATCACATAGGTCATCTACAGGCAATTTGACCTTGATAAGTCAGGGACCATGAGCTCTTATGAGATGCGTCTTGCGGTAGAATCAGCAGGTAAGGCTAATTCAAATCATTCCATCATTCAAATGCAAACCTCAATTCCAAAAAAGTTGGATGTAAAATGCAAATAAAAACAGAAAGCAGTGATTTGTAAATCCACTTTGGCCTGTATTTAAACAGCAAAACAGCAAAAATACAAGATATGAAATGTTTTATCTTCTCAACTTTGTTGTTTTTGTAAATCAGTCAATCAATCACCTTTATTTTCACTCAAATACATTGAGGATGACCCTCATTAAGAATGTAAACTCGTTGGGAAGGGGCAGTTTAAGACTAGTAACATTGTGAAACATCTTAAATAGCTAATACAGTCATACTTGAGTATAAAAGAAGCATACAGGAAAGGCCTAGTCCTTTATGAACAAGGATATGCTGAGGCTTGCCAGTTCGACCAAAAATGCTTCAATGAAAAATGTTCTTCAATGAGCGGATGCAAGGATTTTTGGTATTCCGCCCTCTACTGTGCATAATATCATCAAAAGACCCAGGGAATCTCGAGAAATCTCTGCATGTAAGGGACAAGAAAACTGAATGCCTGTGACTGTCAATCCCTCAGATGTCAGTGCATTTAAAACTGGTATGCTGTTTTTTGCTGCATCCACACTGTACTATGCACAGCGGAACCCAGACAACAACATCCAAGACACCACCGTCCTCTCTGGACTCAGGCTCATCTGATGCATTGTCGAAGCGTGTATTGTGGTCGGATTAGTCCATCTTTCAGATTGTTTATGGAAATAATGGACATTGTGTTCTCTGGCTCGAAGAAGAAAAGGCCATGCAGATTGTAACCAGCGTAAGGTTCAAAAGCCAGGGTCTATCATGGTATGGGGGTGTGTAAGTGCCCATGGCATGGGTAATCTGCACATTTGTGAAGGCACTGAAACATAGATATCGCTGTTGTCTGAAGAAAACCTTGTATCTCCAAAATGATAACTTTATAGGAGAAGGTAAAAACCTACTTTACTTTAATGTAAGTCAATGGAACCAGAGATTTTTCCAAGTCATTTTGGGCCATTTCTTTTTGTCCATTCATCTTGGAATTTACACACAATATAAAGAGTAACAGGTATTTTCAAATTATGTCAAAAACTGGGAAACATCAAAAATGGAGATAAAAGGTTTTCACAGCAATATACATTTTGGAGCATCATACACTGCTTTTAAGATGACGTCTTTATCAGGTGCACCCATGCTTATTTCAACATGACAATGTCAAGAAACATTCTGCATGTGTTACAACAGCATGGCTATGGAATCAAATAGTGCAGGCGCTAAACTGGCCTGCCTGCAGTCCAGTCCTGAAACCGTGTGGTGCATTATGAAGTACACAATACGACAATGAAGGCCCATTATCATCAAAATTGAAACAAGTGTATATTTACAAAAAAGCAATAAAGTTCGTAGGATAAAACATCAAATATTGTTTTTCAGTACTGTTTCCAATTTATTACAGGTATTTAATGCACACAGAGTTTACTAATCACTGCTTTGTTTTAATTAGCATTTCACATACTGTCCCAAGCTTTTTGAAATTGAGGTTTGTAAATATACACAAACCCAAGTCATTCAGCCTCTGTAATTACTGCTGCTTCCTGTTTTCTTTTTGTTTAGGCTTCAAGCTCAACAACAGACTGAACCAGATCCTTGTTGCCAGATATGCTGAGAATGAAGCCATTGATTTTGATAACTTCATCTGTTGCCTGGTTAAACTGGAGGCCATGTTCAGTATGTCTCTTTTAACGTGCACATATTTTAACATTGTTTTATTTTCTCAACTCTCCAGACCCAGTCCTTGAGTGCCAGTCCTACACAGTTTAATGGCTTTGGCACACATAATTCATTTCATGATAGGGCTGCACACTACAGCGTTTGTTAACTGTTAATGTGAAATTGGCCTTTGCACCACTATATGGTGTCAAAATAATGCCTGCACCTCTGTGGGATTTGCTGATGTTGGTTCAGTGTCCCACACTAGAAAGCTTAGCTTTGGAAATCATGGAGGGATGTGTTGCCTATTAGGTTTTAAGGTTAAAAGATTCACTGTAAAGTTTAAACCCAGAGTGGGAAAGTAAATGTACACCAACACTAACTCTTAACAATGGCATTATTTTAGCAGTGGTACTTGGAGAGCTACTTGGTTGTTGCTTCTAAGTAAACACTCTATACTAAACTGTGGGTTACTAGAATACAGGACAGTTAATGCCAACTGTAAGACACAGGTGCAGGATTATGTGTGCTTGCTGATTGTCATTCTGGCAGGAGACAACTTGAGGGTTTGTGTAGATGTAAGCATAAAGAGGGGCATGTGGATTTTCTTGTCAACAAAAAAGTTGATTATTTAATTTTTAAAAAAATTAAAAACTTATAGGTTTTCAAAACATTTAGCCTTATTTTGACGCTATGCCAAAATCACAGAAGGCAATAATATGCAATTAGGCCTCACTGAATGTTTTATTATGTGCTATAAGCATTCTGACCAACCTCAGATGTTCCAGATGGGTTTCTGTGGATGTTTTGATGAATCAAGGCATTCACATGATCCCAAAAAATGAAAACAGTCAAAATAATGCAAGTCAGCCTCCCAGTATGTAGTAATACAAAAAGCAAAATGGAATTTCATCCTTGTCGTGCTGCCATAGTTTGTGAAGGGTTTGATAATTGTTATAGATGTTAGAGCAGAGAAAACACTAAGCTATGGAACACTGCAGCAAATTGGACAGCACTAGCTGAACCCCTTAGGCTTTTTATTCAGTTATTATTTAGTAACTACCTTAATACTAATATGTTCTATCTAGGCTAGCTAACAACAAGACATGCTTGTTTCACACATGGCTTTTTCATGATTTGACCTTTCCTTGTCCTCTGTCCTGTAAACTCTAATTTTGCATGATTTTGGATGCATTTTATTTGTTTACTTTTGTCATCTGACAAAAATTAAAAGGAAAGAGAGAGACTAATACATACAGTGGTGTTATTTGCTTTTGTAAGTGATCCTTCTGCCCAGTGTTGATTTCACTCATCTGCCCTTGCTTTTAGGATCGTTCCAGCAGCTGGACAAGGAAGGGACAGGAGACGTGGAGATGAACATAACTGAAGTAATTTCCATTTTACCATGTTTTTTTTCCCAGCTGTAACTCCTCTATACTGTTTATGCGCTAATTAATTCTTCTGACACCTCTCCCTTTGGCTTTCTCTGTTTAGTGGTTGTACATTACCATGTGTGGTTGAAGAGGACCACCAGTGAAGATAATGCAGCATAAAAATGCCAGAGTTCTGCAAAAGTGCCTCACTGCTGAAGCCATAAGCCTTGGAGCTGTGCTGTTTTTTTTACCCGTACAATCATTGTAACCCCTATATATATATATACAAAAACTGAACGCTGCTGTCATTTTCAAATATGCCGAGTTGCCAGTTAATAGGTGCACCTACATAGTACCCACACTCATTGGCCATTTTATCAGAAACACCTACCACTTTATAGGTGCACAGTTTCTGACTGTACTCCATCTGTTGCTGCTTGATTTGTCAGTCCTCCTCTACCACATCGGTCAGTGCAAACAGATGACCATAGGACCACCAGATACTGTTTGAGTGGTGAACTATTCTCAGCACCGCAATGACACTGACATGGTAGTGGCATGTTCACATGTGGAGCTGGGTTTTTTATACATCATTGCCAGTGTTGGGCTGAGAATGGTCCACCAATCAAAAATGGCCAGCTAACCATGGCCCTGTGGTCAGAGGCTGACCACTGATGAAGAGCCAGAGGATGACAAACACAAATTGTGCATGAAAAAGATAAGCTATATTCTCTAACAGCAAGCTATATCAACACGTGTGTCTAATAAAGTGGCCAGTACGTGTACATAGTGTTGAAAAACCTAGCAACACCTGTACCAGATCAACACACATTGATATGCCACTAGCATGCCAGTGTCACTACTGTAAATTGTGCAGCAGCAGATGGACTACAGTTAGTTTTGTACACCTACAAAGTGCTCCTGTATGATTGGTTTGCCTGATAAAATGGACAATGATATGTGTACATAACCTGGCAACTCAGTATACAGTGCTTTGGAAGGCACCTGGTCATGTTTTGCATGAGAGGTGGGAAGTTCCAGTCATTGAAGTCAACTTCACTGTACCAGACATGCAAACCATTGAGCTGTGGAAAAAGGTTCAGAAACCAACTTGTCTGTAAGTGGGCCGGTAGGCTTGGTCGTCCAGGGGAACGTTTTAGTGATTTTAACATGAAAACAAACTTCTGGTGCACTCTGAGAATAAAATACAGGGAAACAAGTCATCACTGTAGAACGACTGAGTTCGTTGAGTTCAACAACTATGCCAATGCATGTAAAAAAATGCAGACATTTTGATTTGTTAAGCACCTGTTGTTTACCATTCAAATATAAAGTCAATGAGCTAATAGCATGCAAGGGCAGTGCAAACTGTACCTTGATATGAGTGCAATAATCACCCACAATGCACTTGAAATTAAAGTTCAATTTACTAAGACTGTAGCTTATCACGCAAACTATGCATAGCCACACCTAACCGCTCGCTCATGAGCCGCAAGATTTAAAAGAGGCAGTAAAATAATGAAGCTGTCAACAAGCTCGAGACAAAACTCAGAGATAGTAGTGTTAATAAATGTTTTTTTTTTCCCACCAAAATAATGTACAGGGTGAAGCGTGTTATTTTACTGTGGCTAAGAAAATAAGAGTTTTTGACACAGTCTGCACACACACATTCGGCCACATCAAGGCCTTGTCCAAAAGGTTGAGACCACTTTGAAAATCTAGGATTGTTTTCATTTAATCCTCCAAATAAACAACACAAAATTACTGAATTTTGGAAAAAATTGAACAAAGAAAAGTTATGAAAATTAAAAGGAAGAAGAAATATTTGAAATTGTGCACTATTTCTAGATCACTGTTCAAATTAAAGCAAATTTGTAAAATTGACCATGCAGAAGTCTTTGTATAAAAAGGTCAGATTTTTATTTTAGTCTTGTTTCTATCATTGAAGCTCATGCTCAGACAGGTCTCAGGTGGATTTGATCTACTCATCAGATCAGGGTCTGTGCCAGCTTGAGCGCAAACTGTCATTAAAGTAAAAGGGGGACAAACAATAAGAAATTCTGAAATTCATGTTGAAAATTCAAAGATTTTACTGTTCTCTCAGATTGTTTTGCTGATGATATCATTTGTAATGAAAAACAAACTTTAAAATTAGAGAAAAATGCAGACTAGATGCGTTTTTTTCTAGTGGTCTCAGACTTTTGGTCCCTACTGGACATAAAGAACTTGTTTTTTGAAGTGTTACTCAGATGGTAAATGATCTCTTATCATGTGTTTGAGGCTCATGCCTGTGTAACCACTTCATCTTCTGCTGTTGTTAAAGGAAGTCTCTGGAAAACACGTCCTAAATTTGCACCTAGTTTTAAAGTGTGAAGGAAAAACCCAAAACTGATTGCTGAGAGTTGCTGAAACTTAGGTAAATCGAGCAGTATATGTAATCATGCAATTCAATGCATATGCATGAGGGAGAGAAGTGCCACGCACACAGCCTATAAACTGCATGCTTAGGCATGTGCACCAGTTTCATACCTAACACTGTAGGCAGAACGTGTCTGATTTGTGCCTGAAACTGGTGCAAAAGCCCCAACACGTCAGGCCCAACATGTAGAAAATTTGAGACACCCCCTCCACCCACCCCCATTAGAGGCCATAGAGTTTGCATGTTTGCATGTATGTGTGCACTTCTTTACAGTGATACGGACCTCCAAGACGGCGCTCACCTGCTCTACACTGACCAGTAATCAAAACACATTTGTTTCTTGCTGTCCCACAAATTTTTCTGTTTATCATGATTCAGGAAGAAGTGATTTAAGCGTCTGGCTACACAGAATGGAGGTTATATTTGAAGCCTGGTTTGCCTGTGGTCTTATCTTTGAGAGGTAATAGGCATGGACTAAGTTCCTGTAGTGAACGAGTAGTTTTGCACCTGACTGATGAAGAGTCTGCTTGCATGTTTTACTTAGAAGTGAGACACATTAAAATACAGAGAACACTATCACAGTTGCCATTGTAAAGCCTGTTAGATGTCAAATACTTGGAAGACTGTATATAAATAAATACATTTAGCTCTAATAATTCACAGATGTGGATGAATAAAGAACTGAGTCTACAGAACACAAATAGTTTGCATGATCTGTTCCATTCCGTTTAGGCTTTGGTAAGGGTGAAGCTATTTATCTGCTAAGAGGTATTTTTAGCTATATGAAAGTATACATTGATTATAAATGCATGGAAGCCAGTTTTTTAATCATAATAGATTCTTTTAATAAGGAAATTATGTTTGATTAGTACAAATCTGACATCTCAATAATCCAGTCATAATAACACACAACACAAACCTAAACAAATCGCTGTGCGATAGCTAATAACTTTGAATAATCCCCATCCATTTTGCGTAAGTGTGTTGGTATGGGAGCTTTAATCCGTGTTCCTGTGGGGTTCCCATTTTCCTCTATCAAAACCACATTGTTGGAATCAAAGCGAGGCGTCATTCGTTCTCCAGGCATTTTGTGTCCCACGATCAGTGCTTTCTTTTTCTGTCCTTTAATGGCCAATAAAACCATATCGCCCACTTTTCCCACTCCATTCTTGGTGTATACATGAATAACTTTAGGAGGACGGTGATAGGGGGTGTTCCCAAGAGCGCTGTTGTCCACCACTCTTACTCGCGTCAACTTCTGAATAGCTGCCACAGCTGCTGAAACACTAAAGACAACAAGGATATCTTGTGATAACTGCATGAGGGAGCAAAAAGACAACAGTTCCACATACCACACAGGAAACGCCATAACAGTGTTGTATGAAATCTTGAAATTTAGGCTGTTTTCAATTCACACTTCAACATATCAGCATTTCAAGTGGTCTCAGACTGTGGTTTTCAGAGCATATGTGAGCACGGCAAACTTAACTTGGACCTCTTTAACCTAAAAATGAACTCTGGTGAGCCAATGGTGAAAACAAAATGGCCCTAGTTCACTTTGCAGCTTGTTTTACAGCTAAAGAACCTCACAGCTTACCATACATACACAGTACAGCTGCAGGATAAATTGTATTTTTATTGTTATTACAATATGAGTTTCCGTGATAAACGCATCATTAAGAGCTGCAATGACAGAATAGATCAAATCACCTCATGCACATTGCGCCAGGGAGACATCATATCATTGCCAGGACAAACTGTTGGAACATTAGGATTGTTCTCCAGTATTGTGATGACTGCCTGCTATTGTTTCTCAGCCTTTCAGTGCACAAAATAAGGGCTTGCAGTTCTGAAATAAGTAGCTATTAGTATTTATTTTTATTTAGCAAAATAATGAAAGGTGCTTTTGTAATTTTGTATTTTGCTTAAAGAAGAGGTTAGTTAGATTTATGTTATACATCCCAAAAAGTCTTGTGTCACATCCAGTTAGAGGCTTTTTATTAATAATCTGATAATAAATAAGGCTATTAATAATAATTCTTTGTTTCTCATATCGTCATTGTGATGTCCGACAGCTTTATCAAACTTTGCATTTTATGTCAATATGACACAGCCCTAATACACATCCACAGTCTTCCTGCACTTAGCAAAAGAAAAAACAAACTACACAAAAGAATGGTTGCCCATGGGTTTGAGCAGTCTCAATAATAGGCAACCACACTAGCATATTACAGCACTAAGCCACGAGAGGCTGTACGGTAGTGTTTTTACTGTGGTTAAAGGGTGAGGCCAGGAACTATGTGTGGTGAGATCAATGTAATGCATGGCCTTGTGTGGCTTACTGCCTATTAGAAAACGGAAACAAATAACATATTATAAATATAATGTAATGATGAATAAATAATGGTTCAAACAATCAGATCATCTTTAGACATATGCAAGAGTTTGAAAATAAGTTAACTTCCTCTACAGAGAAATATGGCATTTTTCTGCAAATTTTAGCGCAATTGTCTGAATTTAACATATTAAAAAAATCTCTATATATAAAACATGCCATACCTTTTGCACAGGCCACATTTCATATTTTATTTTTTTCCCCTAAATGTTAAACTCAGTAATTAAACAGTAGTTGCACATTAAAATGTGTGGACCTATTTTCACTTAGAAAATCAACAAAACCTAATTCGACCAGGGGTGGCCAAATGTTTTCATATGACTGTATATGATGAATGACACCCCATAATTCAGCATTACTCAGGAGGGGGGTTGTGTTTTAAATGCATTGCAGTGTGAACAGCTGGTTCTTGTTCAGGTCCACTTTACAGACAACTATATATGAAAACCCTAACAGTACCTGAAAGTGTCAGAAATGCAACAGCATGCAAATATTTCGGCCCATGTTAGCACCTCTTTGCATTTTGTTGCATTTCTGGCACTTTGACTAGCTCATGATTTTTAGCATTACCGCATCAAATCAAACAATCTAACTTAGTAACAGCTGCGAGGCATAAAAATGACTTATTACCTGAAAGACCTGCAGTGTGTTGTTGTTGCTGCTGGAATCTTGGAAAGCATTATCTGTGAGAAGGCCATGTTGATCTGTCAAGAAAATAAAGGCATTAACACATCATAAATATGTGTGGCGTGAACTCTTTTTCAGTTTTTCGATTGGTTCAGCTGTTTTTGTACATTATGATGGCAACCAAGGCAGAATCCATGCCCTAATTTAACCATGATGGTGACTCATTTTAACCATGTGGCTGCAATGAATAAAAGAGATTCAGGAAGAATATTTTCTCTGGTGGTTACTTTATTAAATATCATGCTTTTCTCTTGTGCAAGTTAAAATCTAGCTCCAACTATTCATTCAGTGTCAGCATGTCTGGATCTTATTAAGACACTTCTACGCCAGTGTTTCCCAACCCTGGTCCTGAAGGCCCTCCTGGTCTGAACATTTTAGTACTTTTCTTACTCCAGTACACCCACTACAACCCAGGAACATCTCGTTACTTAGCTAATTAGTTGAATCAGGTGTATTAAGAGGAGTAAAAGCACTAAAACATGCAGGGCAGTAGGCCTCCAGGAACACTGGAGGTCGGAAAACACTGACCTACAGTGAACTCTGTATTTAATGGGGCAGTCCAGTCCAAAACTAACATATGTTGTTTGTTGTGTTATGTAATATTTTGTGGCGCAGCATTACATCTCTCAACTTCATCAGTTTGACAGAATTCAAAATTTGTATTCTTCCACCAATGTTCTCTCACTACAATACCCAGCATGCACTGCACAAAATCTCATACAACCATT